ATAAGTACAGGAAATTGCATATTTAATATTTATTCTTTAATCATAATAGTACCTCAAATAGAATGTGCGGTGAAGAAGACCGATACTTATATGTCCTGCTCAAGGAATTATTTTTAAATTCAGGGTATCTGAATTTAATTTTTTTATAATTAATACGCTGATGCTTTAATAGTAGTACAGTTGCTATAAGGAACTTTTTAGTTCTAAAATTCTTGAGAAGAAAAAAAAGGAGGAAAAAGAGCTATAGCTTAATAATAGAATATATCCATTGGGTTCAGAACATCTCAGCTTTAGTTTTTCCTATATCCAAATAGGGCTTCAGCAAGACATCCTAATGAATCATTAGTAGGCAGTTTCAGTAATAAGCTGTAGGGCACTGTACCAGTTTGCGAGCATTTATCAATAACATACAGAAAAGTCTGCAAGTGAACAGGACGATCAGGCAACGCAGAAATATTGTGTTAGTTAACCAAAACTAATTTGAGAAGTCTAGTTTTCAATCGTGGAAACATCTCTTAATAGCTTTATGATGGTAGATGTATGCTTGTTCAGTTTTTTATTCTTATTCTGAAGATTTCTCATGCATTCTATATAGAATATGATATTCTATATCATTCATTCATTCATTCATACATTCATTCATTCATTCATTCGGGTATTTAGGCATTTGTTTATTTATGAAAATTTATATGGCTGCCCAACTCACCCTCAGTGACTCCGGGTGGCTTACAAAGATAAAAATCCAATACAAAAACAATTAAAAAAGCAATAACTTCCCACCCATGCTAAAATTTCATCTGCCTCTGTTGTTCTCATGTGGAAAAGTTTCCTTTTCTGGCACCATTCCTACTTAACATTTCTTCAATAAAAATGATGAACATTTTTGCAGTGATTCCTAGGCTCGTAACCAAAATGTGAGATAAATTTTAAAATGCTGTTGTCCGGAACCATCCTGATATAAGCAAGAGATGCAGTTGATATATATGACACAATGCACGAGTTTCATAAACTCCAGGATTTCACTGGCTCCATGTTGGTTTCTCATCCCCCGTTCAAAGTGATGGTGGAACCAGGTTCTGGCAGGAATAACAGTCCTATAGCATATACTGTACATCAGTGTTTCTCAACCATGGCAACTTGAAGAGGTATGGATTTCAATTCCCAGAATTCCCCAGCCAGAATTCTGGGAGTTGAAGTCCACACCTCTTCAAGTCGCCAAGGGTGAGAAACACTGATATATAGGTATATCACATCAACTAAGGAAAAGACTTCCTTAACACAACCAGTCCAGTTACATATCTTCATTCCTAAGTGATGTATTCTGCTATCAGCATCTTCTAGATACCAGGCAAAAGAACAACCCCACCATTTTTATTGACATTTTAAGTTATGAGGAGATAGATAAGGAATTATAGTTCTACAGCCTGAGAACGGTTGGTATGAAAGATTAAATTAAACTTTTTTAAAAAAAATTGTCATTAGCTAGGTAAACATTTGTGATTCAAAAACAAATGTTGCTCAAAGTTTTACAACACAGAGTTAGCTGAAATGAAACAGCACAATCTTACTTAATTTCTGTGGAATGTGGAACTGACACAGCACCCCTTATTTTTAGGGGAATTATGGTCAATGGGATTGTGACTGGTTAAGAGAGATAAATTCATCCTCAGTTTTCCTCTCTATTTTTTTCTACTGCTTAAAAATTTCCAGGTAAACCTAAAGAAATAAGCTGAAGATAATGCTATTTATTAAGACTGGAGAAAATGTAAAGAAAGTGTGCATCAGATAAGAATGCCATCTTTGAACCATATGTTTTCAGCAAGTGTTTGAAACAGGACTTGTCTGACATATGTTTACTGTGAGGTAATATATGATGTAACCCTAACAAAGATAACCTTTGTAAAAGAAAATAGGTTGTGCTTTTATTCTGACAATAGTTCTTATTGAAAATAACAGTGTATGTTGTTGATTTTTTTTTTTAAAAAAAATGCTTTTATCTTTATTTAAATAGGATAAGGGTTTAAGCAAAGAGGTCATAAAGTTGTAAAGGTTGATGTGTCCAAAGAAGGTCTTTCGGTATAGTAATGCTATTTTTATTTTTCTTCAACAGAAGGAATGTATTTATGCTGATTCAGAGCTGTACTGTATTGGAAAGTTGGGAGGAATTGGGTCTAGCTTAGAAGGAACAATAGCAATAAATGTTGCACCATTTACCTTTACACAGTGCACAAACATAGACAGAACCCAGAAACTATTTTTTAAAAATGTGTTTTGAGGAGCTATAATAAGCAGCAAAATTATATCAGCTGCTGGCAATTTTACTTAAAACAAATGTAAGCAAAATGGGCAGGGGGAGAGGAAATTGGAAGAATTTACCAAAAATCTTTTGGTTTTGCACAGATTTAAAAAAGCAAGGAATTTTGGAAAGGATGGCTGATTCTAGGTAGCTGAATGTCAATCAGATAAAATGTCACTGATATTCTGCAGAAATAACAGAGAGAAGATAAATCCCTCAAAATCAGGAAGAACAGCACAAAAATTGTCATCATCTACCTTTTTAGACATCCCACCAAAATCCTGACTTAAATGATTCTTGTAGAAATGCCAGTTCAGGCAATTGTCCATAGTCACTGAAAAGGAATTCTTTATAGCAAATCCAACAATTGGTTGCCTGCAAGGATCTGTTTTGTTCTCCATGTCTGGGGATGCTTTACTGTTGTGTCTGGCTTGCTTGCAGACTGATTCTTAAGGAGAAATGGCATTCAGATCGTGGAAAGCTTTGTCCTCATCTGTTGGGCACATTAGTTGATGACAACTTTGAGGTAGTCCTCGACTTACAACAGTTAATTTACTGACAATTTGAAGTTACAACGGCACTGAAAAAAGTGACTTATTAGTGTTTTTCACACTTCTGACCATTGCAGCATCCCCATGGTCATGTGATTTACATTCAAATGCATGGCAACTGGCTCGTATTTATGACGGTTGCAGTGTCCTGAGGTCATGTGATCATCTTTTGTGACCTTCCGACAAGTAAAGGGAAGCCAGATTCACTTAACAACTGTGTTGTTAAATTAACAACTTCATTTAATTCATGTAACAACTATGGAAAGAAAGGTCATAAAATGGGGCAAAACTCACTTAACAAATATCTCACTTAGCAACAGAAACCTGGGGCTTAACTGTGGTCGTAAGTCAAGGACTACCTGTATATTATGAACTATGATATTGCAAGTCAGGAAACCATCATACATTAAAGTAATTTGGTTAACAAGAAGAGAAAAAAGAACAGAAAGTTCTGCCATTTCATCAATTCAATTCTGACAGAATAATATTGAAGAAAATAAAGTGCTACATTGTTTTAATTGTATTTTATACATGTATAATTGTATCTAGTCTATGGAGATGCTCAATCATCCAGGTCATGCTTGTCCCAAAGGTGCTTTTTCAAGAGGCAACTGGACTTTCTGGTTTTTCTTTGAAGATGTTTCACTTCTCATCCAAGAAGCTTCTTCAGCTCTGTAACTAGTGTTTTTCCATTTCATTCATAAAAACAAACCTTTGTTTATTTTCAGCTCTACGATATCCATAACCTCAAATGATAATTTGCTTTAACTTCATCTTAGTGGATCTTAAAATTAATGGTATACTATTTACTCTCAACATCATTTTTACTAAAGTAACTTTTCACCATTTGACATCCTACAGAAGTACTAGACACTGTGATGCTTTCAAGTGAGTTTTGATTTCTCTTGACTGAATGGATAAGTTTATGGAGTTTTTTAGGCATTTTCAGAAGTGGTTTGCTATTCCTGTCTTCTTAGTGGTAAAAGTGACTGGCCCAATTGATTCCATACCTAATGCAGGAATAGAACTCAGACCCCTTCTCTGTTTATTGGACTCAAACACCTTAACCACTAGACCAAAACCATAATTCCCAGTATCACTGTCAGCCACTGATGAGGAAAGTTATAATCCAGAACATTTGGACATTGTTTTATGGAGGATAAAGCGTTAAATCTTTAGTTATTTAACTACTTCCATTTTAGCATGCTTCATTTACGGTTGTGATTATCTTGTTCTTCAGTGTCTGCTTATTTGTTTGAAGTAGTTTTAAAAATTAAGTTCGAAGATCTTTATGCAGAAAATGGTCTAAAATATTATTTTAAAGTAGCCTAAATAACTTTATGGCAATACGTGTGGTAAAGTTGTCTTAAATGTTTGTAAAGTTGTTTGTGATGAATTAGACAATCAGGATATATGAAATGAACGTATGAATGAATGAATGACTTTACTGAAAGTCAGCAATTCTGAAGGAAGAAAAGATGCCTTTGTCATATACCGAGAATGTCTGTGTTTTGTGTGAACTGTGAAAAATGAGTCTCTTGTCTCCATTAAGAGTACTTTAGTCTGAAAGGTGAGGCAGCCTCAAATGTCCACCTAAAGGCCGTGTTTTCTTGTTTTGTAGGAACTCTCATTCAGCTGCACATCAAGGTAGATCTCTTCAGACTTGAGAGCATTATGGGACTCTCATAAGATTTTGCTTATTAGGTTTGCTTATGCTTGTGCCAAGAAAAAAAATTCCAACATCCTATCAACAGATTCCATTAACATTGCTTTTTGTTTGTCTGTGCTGAAGCCTCCTTTATGCCACAAAGGCAGGCTTTTTTTCAGCGCCTTTCACTTTATCCTGCCTGCATGTTTGCTTCTGTGATGTCTCGAAATCTTTTAGTATCAAGATTTCTTCCGAATAATTCAGTTGAGAACATGATATTCTGCTCCAGAAATCATGCTGCAAAAAAAAAAAAAAAAAGCCTAATAGTTTCTCAGGAGCTCTGGAAAAAAAAAAGCAGAGGTATTCTTGCTTCCTTAGATAGGAGAGCTCTGCAAACTATGCAAAAGTTGTCTGTTTTTGTTTGAATTTTTCTTAGGGGAGAAAAAAATAGCCATGTAATAACTTGCTTCCTCCCCCCTCCCCCTCGTTTATTATATGTGCTCAGGAGTTCAGACTCTGAAGAAGCATTTGAAACACCAGAATCCACAACTCCTGTAAAGGCTGCACCTCCGCTACCACAACTACCGCCTGAAATTGTAGCATTCGACATAGAGGAACAAGAAATAACACCTCAGCTTCCAGCAGAAGACCCAGGTAACAATTGTACAGGGTATAGGATAGGCCTCTCTTCACGTGCACAGTTTGAGCACTTGACGAGCCCCAGAACAGACTGCTAATCCCAAGAGGCTTCGTATTCCTGAGGAAAGTTGGTACCTTGGTAGTAGAACAGATGCTTTGCAGGCCAAGGCTCTTGGTTTAACCATTAGCAATAATTCTGATTGAGAATTTGCAACGTGACTGTTAGTTAACCATCAAGCTTTATTGTAAAGCAACTTTATATGTTAGGTTAAAATTCCAGATCGTCTTATATAAACAGTTTTTTTTTTATTTGAGTTTTATTGGGTTTTAAAAATTAAACAATTCTTATTCAACTCTTGTGCATGACTGTGACCATTTACATATCATCACACTAATATTCTCCTATACTTCGGGCTTCAGGCCTGGGTACAGCACGGAAACGGCATTGGTCGCGTTGGTTGATGATCTCTGGAGGGCTCGGGACAGGGGTTGTTCCTCTGTCCTGGTCCTATTAGATCTCTGTCCTGGTCCTATTAGATCTCTCAGCAGTTTTTGATACCATTGACCATGGTATCATGCTGCACCGGTTGGAAGAGTTGGGGGGGGGCACTGTGCTGCGATGGTTCTCCTCCTTTCTCTCCGACCGGTCGCAGTCTGTGTTGGCAGGGGGGGCAGAGGTCGACCCCAAGGTGCCTTATATGTGGGGTGCCACAGGGGTCGGTACTGTTACCCTTTCTGTTCAACATTTATGTGAAGCCACTGGGCGAGATCATCCGTGGTTTCGGGGTGAAATACCATCACTACGCTGATGATACTCAGCTGTACATCTCCACCCCAGACCACCCCAGTGATGCCCTTGAAGTGATGTCCCGGTGCCTGGAGGCCGTGCGGATCTGGATGGGGAGAAACAGACTCAGGCTCAACCCATCCAAGACTGAGTGGCTGTGGTTTCCGGCGTCCTGATATAGTCAGTTGGTGCCATCACTGACTATTGGGGGTGAATCATTGGCCCCCACGGAGAGGGCTCGCAACTTGGGCGTCGTCCTGGATTCACAGCTGTCTTTAGAAGAGCACTTGATGGCTGTGGCCAGGAGGACTTTCTGTCAGGTCCTCCTGATATGCCAATTGCGTCCCTTTCTGGATCGGGACTCCTTACGCACGGTCATTCATGCCCTCGTCACTTCCCGCCTGGACTACTGTAATGCTCTCTACATGGGGCTCCCCTTGAGGAGCACCCGGAGGCTCCAGCTGGTTCAGAGTGCGGCCACGCGGGTGGTTATGGGAGCGACGTGGCGTTCCCATGTGACACCTCTCCTGCACAAGCTGCACTGGCTCCCGGTGGTCTTCCAGGTGCGCTTCAACCTTTAGAGTGCTCCATGGCTTAGGACCAGGGTACTTACGGGACCGTCTTCTGCCACAAGTAGCCTCTCACCGGCCAGTACGCTCACATAGAGGGGGGGTCCTCAGGGTGCCATTGGCCAAACAGTGTCGACTGGCGGCCCCCAGAGAGAGAGCCTTCTCTGTGGGGGCACCTGCTATCTGGAATGAGCTCCCCCCGGAGATATGGAGGATCCCAGATTTACGCACCTTCCGCCGTGCCCTCAAGACCTATTTATTTCAACAGGCTGGCCTGGCCTAATTTCCCTTTTAACTGTAACTTTTAAAATTGGTTTTAAAACAGTGTTTTAATTTGTTTTGGGCCAAATTATTTAATGGATTTTTATATTGTCTTTTAAATTTTGTAGTTTGTGTGTTTTATCTTTCTGGCTGTTCACCGTCCTGAGTCCTTCGGGAGTAGGGCGGTATATAAATCTAATAAAATGAAATGAAATGAAATGATATAATCTTTATAATTTTACAAAATCTACTATCTGTTATTTCCCTTTTTTTCTATCTTCAATCCAATTATACCAGCTTGTATAAATAGTTTTAAATTTAATATTTCGGTTTTGAGACCTCCTGATTCCTCTAGATGGAATTTATAACTTACAAAAATTCGAAAGAAAATAACATATATCAAAGAAAAGGGAATATAGTTAGTCCTCAATTTACGACCACAATAGAGCCCCACATTTTTGTTGCTAACCGAGACATTTGTTAAGTGAATTTTGCCCCGTTTTATGACCCTTTCTGCCACAGTTGTTAAATGAATCAGTATAGTTGTTAAATTAGTGACATAGTTGTTAAGTGAATCTGACTACCCCATTGACTTTGCTTGTCAGAAAGTCACAAAAGGTGATCACATAACTCCAGGACCCTGCAACTGTCATAAGTATGAGTCCGTTGCCAAGGATCTGAATTTTGATCACGTGACAATGGAGATGCTGCAAGAGTTTTTCCAGTGCCGTTGTAACTTTGAATGGCCACTAAACAAACTGTTGTAACTCAAGGACTACCTGTACCACTGATCAAACAATTAAATGCCTGTTGGATGGCATTTTTTGGGCATATTTCACACAAGTATATGAACAGTGAAGATGAGAATTATATCCAAGCTGACCTTCTTAATAACTAGAAACTTCTCCCATATTTTTTTAATTCTTGTATCTGATGGTGATTTTCTGATAAGATTCAGTGTTTGGGAATAAGTTTTGCTTCTCTCACCAATAGCGACTAAACCTCTACCAGCTGTCTCTATAAAGTGCTGGATGCAGTTGCTGGAGCCCTTTGAAAAATTGTTACTATAATTGTGTTGTTTGTAGTCAATTTAAATACAACTGGAGCCCATTAAACTATGCTAAGCTTTTGTCGAGACTTCAGTCACTTCTTGATGTTTTTGTATTTTTCAGGTTACAGTCCCAGCACACCTGACAAAGGTCAAGAGAGCACTGAGCCTCCAAGTAAGTTGGATAGTAATGCTGTAAAATATTATCCCATCATTAGTTTACCAACTTCCCCTAACCTATCCACCCACCCCACATATATGTCTGTGTCAGAGGTGGGTTTCATCAGGTTCTGACCAGTTCCGGAGAACCGGTAATGAAAATTTTGAGTAGTTTGGAGAACCGGTGGTAAAAATTCTGACTGGCCTCGCCCCCATCTATTCTCTGCCTCCCAATTCCCAGCTGATCGGGAGGAAATGGGGATTTTGCAAAATTCTTCTCCTGGAGTGGGTTGGGAATGGAGATTTTACAGTATTCTTCCCCTGTCACGCCCACCAAGCCACACCCACCAAGCCATGTCACACCCACCAAGTCACACCCACAGAACCGGTAGTAAAAAAATTTGAAACCCACCACTGGTCTGTGTTTATGTTTGTGTACATAGGGAGAAATGGAAGCTTAAGACTCAGTTTATGCATCTTTGCTTACGATGAATCTCGGCTTCCGTTAGAATTCAGAGGTTTGGGATGGAGCAAGTTGCAAAATATTGTAAATAAATACATGTGCTTGGTTAATCTTCTGACAGACTGTAACAGTTAGAATATCATGCCTGCTCTTCCACTTTGAAACCTGGTGCAGTGAGTGCAAAGTTAATACAATAAGAGGTGAAGAATCTATAATTCTATGGTGAATCAGAAGTACTCCCTCCAAAAAATAACAATGAAATGTATCTAAAGTAAAAAAAAGTAATAGCAATAATAATAATTACTACACACAAGTAGACCTTGAATTACGACCACAATTGAGCCCAGAATTTGTTACTGAGAAATTTGTTAAGTGAGTTTTGTCCCATTTTACTACTTTTCTTGCCACATTTGTTAAATGAATCACTGAAGTTGTTAAATTAATCACACGGTTGTTAAATGAATCTGGCTTTCCCATTGACTTCGTTTGTCAGAAGGTCACAAAAGATGGTCACATGACCCTGGGACCAGGGATGAAATGCTCCCGGTTCAGACCGGATCGCCCGATCCAGTAGCGATGGAGGCGGGTGGTTCGGAGAACCGGTAGCAAAAATCCCTGCCCCCCCTCCTCCCCATTGCCCAGTTGGGCTGCACAATCATTAGAGGCTTTTTTTATTTTATTTTTAAAAGCATTTTTTCTACAACCTCTTTGGCTGAAAAAATGTTTTTAAAAGAAAAAAAAAGCTTCTGATGATTGCTCGGCTCAGCTGGGATCATCAGAGGCTTTAAAAAAAAAAAAAAGAAAGAAAGCCTCTGCCAATCAGGCAAGTCAGCTGGGATCGTCAGAGGCTTTTAAAAGCATTTTTTAATAACCTCTTCAGCTGAAGAGGTTGTAGAAAAAATGCTTTTAAAAGTAAAAAAAAAAAGTTGGCCATGCCCACTCAGTCATATTACCGCCCCCACCAAGTCACACTCACAGAACCAGTAGTAACAAATTTTACATTTCACCACTGCTTGGGACACTGTAACCATCATAAATATGAACCAGCTGTCAAGCATCTGAATGTAAATCATGTGATCATGGGAATTCTACAACAGTCATAAATGATTATAAGTCATTTTTTTCAGTGATGTTGTAACTTCAAACAGTCACTAAACAAACTGCTTTAATTCGAGGAGTACCTGTATTCTATGGTAAGTCCTCCATTATGGGCATTTTTCAACTCTGAATTCTTAGCATTTGCTCTGCAAACTGGGGAACTTTTTGAGTCAATATTTATACACCTGGAGAGCACCTAGACTGTCTTCTAAAGATGAAAGATACCAGGGCATCACTTTCAAAAACATCTGTAATTATTTGGCTACAACTTTTGTTTAAATATCAGTAAATGTTCTTCACCATTTCATATTTTTCTGCAAAAAAAGTATCTGCACCATCATTATGCTGCCAGCAAACACAAATTCATGGAGAAATTTGGTGCCCAAGTGCACAGGGAAATCAGGATTTTGTTCTAGATGTATGAATATCCTGCTTATCTTTCATCATTATCTTTCTACAATTATTTTAAATTTGTACAATTTAAAAAATGATCTTTTCACATTAATTTTCACATGAAATTGAAAAGGAAATTAATTTTTCAGCTTGATAAATCTAAATGAAAAAGGAGGAAAATCATTTACATTAAATAGGATTTGAAGAGCAGCCTTTAATTACAAAATTAAATTGCAACTCATTCTGAACTTCCAGTTATTTACTTTTATTCCTGTTTATTTCTCTCCCTTTCTGTTATCCTTTTTCTTTCATTCCTTCTGTGTTTTAAGAAGTAAAAAGTACTATGTGCACAATTGTCCAAACTGAAAAGAAAGATTACCTTTCTTTTTATATCAGCTTTCCATATCAACTAAGTTAGTTGAGTTTCTGAATGAAACACTGGATATAAATGTAATAAACATTTCCTATTTATGTATGATTTATATCCATGGTTATTTCCTTATGTTCTACATGTATTTACATTCCAACCTAAAAGATCTCTGGTGTGATACCATCCAAAGTCAAAGTACTCCTCATAAGGCAAAGCCATGCCAGACTTAATGTAACAGAAAAACTCCGGTCTCTGTGATTAAATGTCATGAATAGTAAAACTCCCTGGTGGAGGCTGCTTTGAAGTAAAAGGGCAACATTCCTTTCATTTCTGACCAGTTTTTAGTGTCAAGAGGGCAGGATTAAAAAAACCTCTCCAGACACAAAGCTGCATTGTCTACTATTCAACGCTTCCTGGAATGGTTTTTCCACTTGATTGTTCTGTTTTCTTTAATACATTGAACAGGGTTCTTAGGGTAGCTTGTGTATGCACTTTTGAAGTTGGAGTATAAAAACGAAGAAAAAAGTCAGTACTGGGAATTATTCTACGTTGTTTATTCTAGTAAATTAACTGCAAAATCAGGTATTTGAATACTTCTAATAGTGATAATGTGATGAGTTCATTAGAAAAATAATGTGTCAGAACAAATAAATTCTTTGTAGGAACACTTAATATAAAAGACCAGAACATTTAAGTGTGGAAGTTAGATGAACCTGTTGCCCAATATTAATACTGTATCTGGTTTATCGCACAATATGTTTTTACTTTATTGGTTTTATTTTTAATCAATCATATTTTAGTTCAGTTTTTATCTCGATTAGAGGTATTTAGTCCTTGAGAGTTACCCAAACCAGTGGGCATTCACATACATCGATAAAATAAGTAAATAAATAGTCATAAAATGTGGGGCTTGTCTACAAGCAAATCTGAATTTGTGAAAAAGGACTCCCAATAGAGGATGTATATGTGTTAGGCACATGAATCAAACAAACAGCTGCTAACCCAAATATATCAGTATGGTAGCCCAGTATATAAAACCAACAATGCCAAATTATCATACCAGTATATCACTTTGGTGATACTACTTTAGAAAAGTAATATCTGGTGAAGATAAAGTCTTCAGTTCCTGGTGATTACATGTTTGTCACTGCCTTCTTTTAGAATGTTTTTTCAATAGCTCTGTTAAGTGAATAGCTCTGAGATCTTCTGGTAGTCTCTAATCCAAGCACCAATCAGATCTCAGCTGCTGGGGGTTGTTGTTGTTTTAGATCAGGGAAGTTCAGCTAGATATTGCCACCTTCTTAGTGCATCCCATCTTTTCTGATCTTGAGAGAAAGGTCAGTATATGAGAAAAACTGGAGAACTTCCTAAAGAACAAAAGACAATTAGTAAAGTCACAGAATTCGCTCTATCAAAATAAGATTAAACAGTGAAAAGAAAGAGTAGAGGACTTGAATGTCCTACTGCCAGTTTGTAACTTAGATGCAATTTGGTCTTAAATAAAGCCCCTATATAAAAAAAATTAAAAAGTTTACACTCTTAACACTGGTTTTAATAAAGAAAATTGGGATCCATGAAATTAGATAATGATTTATCTTAATGTCTATGTAAGATAAATCACTGGCCTAGTATCAGGCTGGAAAATGCTGATGTAGAGGGATAATTCTAGCTAATAATGACATCACATGGAGTGCAAAGAAAGTTGGATGGATAAAGTTTCATGAGATAAAATATGAGTAAAATAAAGCAAATACCAATTTTGAGTATCATGTAGGCTGTCAGAATTTGAAATGGCATTGGCATACGTACAAGAGATTAGTATTATTCAAGAAAAATTCATTTTAGCTCTGGAATTCATTTTAGGAATTACAAACTATGTGAAAATTGGAAATAGCATATTACGTAAATCCAAACCCAATCAAGACCCTAATAATTGCATGCCAGTTGCAATTTATTTATTTTAATTTATTTTATATCCAATTTATATACCGCCCTTCTCCCTGAGGACTCAGGGCGGTGTACAGCCGAATAAAAACATAAATTACAAACATTAAAATAGTATTAAAAGGATATATATGTGCAATGATAGCACATCATCATAGTTTTGTCCAATACACCAATTTGCATTGCCTTATGTATAGTATGGCAATATTATGTAAGGCTAATCATAATGTAAGCCAATTAACCTCAATAGAAGATACTGCCAAGTAGGGGATTGCAGCCAAAGATTGCCATCTGATCAGAGTGTAAAAGTGAGCTCCTTATATGAAAAGTGCACAGCAGCTCAGCTGGCAAGAGCAGTTGTAATTAAAGTCAGGCAATAAAATAAATCCATACTCAACGAGCATGTAGGTTGTCCTTCATCAAAAGGCCATACTTTATTGGTGTTTGCTTTGAAGGAAATCTTTCATTTGCTGGTATGGTTTTTCTTTTTCGGAGATATGGGGATCTGTCTGACAAATCTTGAAACAAGATATTAACATTCTAGTCATTGTAATTTTGAAATCACTTCTATAGTAGGATGAGTTGCATGCTGAGGAAAGCGTGTTTCTACCCCCCCCCCCGGACTCCAATTTTTGGATTCTCCCTTGCACTTTTGCTCTTTCATTGGGATAAATATTCAATGGGTAATTTTGTAAATGTAATTAACATCCTTAAAAACAGAGATTGATAGATATAATTTCCTCTCTGCAGAATATGGGTATATCTTTTGGGCCACCTGTGTTAAGATGCTTGGATGATGATAACGGAACCCCTCACATTCAGAAAAACATTTAATATATTGTGAATGTGCATCCCTTATATTATGAATGTAATGAAGCAATTTTAGATAGCTACATAAACTCAGTGTTTTCTTTCTTTTTTTAAATAGCATGTAAAACACCTATGATTAAATCATCAAATTTTGCAATCATTTCCCATCAAAATAAAGTAGGCTTAATGTTGAAACTGTAGCTCTAGCTCAAATAATTGTCTACTGGAATAATGAAATAGATTGTGAATATGCTTTTGGCTTTGTTCTTAAGAGACACTTTATGGGATCATGTGACTACTACAATAATTGCCAGGGGAAAATGACAACTCATCTACTGAAAACATCAACATTGACAGCCAGTAATAATGCTGTAAATTATTTCCACTTTGATTCTTTACCATTGGTGCCTTATCAATTGGAAGTATAATAAGAATGTAATCGTTTAACCAAAGGATGGGCAGTGTAGTCTCTTAATTTAAATTTAAATGAATCAATTTGGTATTCTGGTAGGAACGTCATATTCAAATGAAATCACCATTTCATAATCCTATTTAGCATCTTAGAATTTAGAATGCTCAGATTTATTTTAAGGGATGGCATAATAAAATTGTAGTTACAGCACTAAGGTAGTAAATATGTTTATAATTTTCGAGATGGACCATGCTTGCCAATTTCTACAAGATATAAATGATTTTAACCCAGTAGCTACCTTGGAAGGTTAAAAAAAGAAACTACAAACTCCATCCTTTTCATACATGCGACATCACAACATAAGTATAAAAGGAGAAGGCTTTGCATTGTACTGCTACAACACAGCTTTCACCGTTTTGCAAGACAGTATCAGATAAATCTCAGTCACTCTCTGAAAGCTTGTCTCTGCATTATCAGCCAAAATCTGCTGACAGAGTATTAGAGCTTAATAGGATGAAAGACAATACTACAGGATGTGTGTCTATCAGTTGAAAATGATTGCTTGTTCCTTTCTTAACAGGCCTATCCTGCCTCATATAACAAATCTTATAGTAGTTTGAAGTTCAGATAAAGGCAGCTTCTTTCTTGTTTACAACACATTTCTTATTTGGTCTTCAGAGTTAAAGTAATTTGATTTGCTCTCAATACTGATTTTCACTTTATGGAGATTTCTTGATTTGCATTCTGTTGACTTGCACAATTATAAAATATTTTTCTGATCTACAATTGTAATAAAAGACTTTGTTTGTATGATAAAATATAATTACCCGTGTTCTATTTTTAAAGTAAATATATTCAAAATAAAATCCACAATTACTGTTGGAAAAACAAAAAATAACTCACTTCTTGCTTCTTATTTTTTGTTTATCCCGTGTGTTTCCTGATTTGAATTCTTATCTTGAAAAAGATGGGGGGGAGGGGAGGGGAGGGTGAGAAAAAATAGGGCTAAAGGAACTAATAATTTGAAAAGTATCTTGAATTATAGGATGCATAGTCCGCTTTCATTTCGCTAGTTATTTCAGATTCAACATTGCTAAATGCTGATAACTTTTTGCCTTTGCTTTTTATAGGTTTTTCTTCTGAAACAGTAACAGTAGCTGATGTCCCTCATTGTGAACCAGTTGAAGAAACTCCACTGCCCCCTCCGTCCCATTCATTTTCTACAGTTTTTGATGAAGACAAGCCAATTGCTAGCAGTGGGACTTACAACCTAGACTTCGATAGCATTGAAGTTGTAGATTCCTCACAAGCTGTGGATCCAAGCTCCCTGGACATAAAAAGTCGGGATTCCAAGTCACATGTTAGAAGAAAATCCACAGATTCTGTTCCAGTTTCTAGATCTACATTATCTCGTTCCCTTAGTTTGCAAGCTGGAGAATTTGATGGAGCCTCTTTTCCTGGGACTAACGAGACAGCAGGTTCTGCAACAGATACTTTTAGTGCTGGTTCAAGCAGTGCTTCTAGTACTCTTAAGCGCACAAAAAAACCTAGGCCAGCTTCCTTAAAGAAAAAACAATTAGCAAAAAAATCCTTGGATGTTTCTCCAGTAGAAGAACCAGGAATATCAGACCTCAAGCAAGATTCTGCTGCCTCAAGTGACGAAAAAGTTTCTGAAGAAACTTTGGAGCCCACTGAACCTGACTGTATCAACCAACAGCACCAAAGCACTGTCAATAAAGACGAGTCCACTCCTGTACTAGAGACATTGAGTCCATTTGATCCAAACAACTCAGAAGAAATTCCTGTATCAGGAGATAGCAAAGTACAGAACTCTCCACTTGCCAACAAGAAAACTATATCTCTTACCACAACACCAGAAGCTGTGGAGGTGACACCATCAGACACTGGGGGACAAGAAGATCCTCCAGTGAAAAGCTTAGCAGTCAGATTGGAATTTGATTACTCTGAGGAAAAAGGAAGTGGTGAGGAACAGACAGAGAGTTCTTTTCTGCCCAAAAAAGTGGGGAAAAAGCCTGGGGCCAAAATGCCTCTCAGAAGGCCAAAGACTAAAAAGACTGGAGAGAAACTTGACAATACTCCCACAAGCCCAACCAAGACTCCTTCTGAACCCAGTGAGATTCCTGCCTCCAAGGGCTCATATACTTTTGATATTGACAAATGGGATGACCCCAACTTCAATCCTTTCTCTTCCACTTGCAAAATGCAAGACTCTCCAAAACTTCCTCAGCAAACCACCACAACTTACAGTTTTGATCCAGAAATCTCTGAGGATTCTCTCGATCCATTCAAGCCTTCCCCAAAAGTTGCCAGTACTCCCACACAACCTCCAGCATCCTTTGAAATTTCAGCTAATGTCAATGAAATTAATGGATCAGAAGGAGATGGCCTAAATAAACCTGCAAAAAAGAAGAAGACTCCACTCAAAACGTAAGTCAACATGTAGAAAAGTGTGTGTGCAGTAGTCTAAAAAAGTTCTCTGACAAATCTTTGCAAGCTCCCTTAAATTTCTGTGTTGGTGCTATGTTTGTTGTATACGTTTGCTGTAGTACATCCTACCCAACTGAATAATTACTGCATATTACTGCAGCTGGAATTAAATTATTTTCCTTTTGGCTCTGAGGTGTACTAGGACTTAAAACCTTTTTTTAATCCTCAGCATTTAGAAAGTAAGCTTTAATTTTGCTGAATGTATGATGTGGTCTTTTGCTTCAGAATTTAAGAATCTTGCTGATCCCTAGGATGTGAGATTTAAAACATTTGACAAAAGTTTTTTCTGTTTCAAAGATTGAGAAGCAATCTGACCATTTTAAAAGGAATGTATTTTGGAAAAATGTAGGATTTCTTACCGCATTCCATCATGACATGGAAAAGTTTTCAAGGTTGTTTTTTTAACATAAAATGTAAATATACTTTATAATACAAGTGATCAGTTTAATTCAGTCAAATAATAACACACTCATGTCGGGATTAAGAGACTACTCTGCAAAGTGTTTATCATGAGGTTATAGTTTATACAGAGTTCAAAATGACAGAAGCTATTCAGATGCTTAAAAGATGCTTCAGTCCATTTATAGTGGCTGGTTTGCGAACAAGCCACAAATGCTACTGAAGTGAGTTTAGTTTCTTTGTGTGTGTGAGGGAGAGAGAGAGTTGGGCAAATAAATAAATTTGTTTAATAAATAAATATGAAATAAATATTTTTACTTTGTAAAAGTAGATTCTGAATAAGAGAAAGGACTTGGAAGACATAGTTTCCCTTCAACTAATCAGCGATGTTGATTTATTAAAACTCATGTTTTGTCGTCTTATGATTAAAATTGGTTGTGAGAATGGGGAATTAGACAGCATATACCTTACAAATTGTATTGCTTGCTATGAATTTCAGCCATAGTTAACTCTGCATTTCTTGTATGTGGTAATTCACCCATAAGCAAATTCTTCCAGGAGATAAAATCAATAATTTTCAATTGCTGTGTATTCTTGAAAAATATATTGCTTAACTTTTCCATAAAAGATTCCTTTTTCTTTTTCTTTTAAGGCTAATCTACACAGGTAGTCCTCGATTTATGACCACAATTGAGCCCAAAATTTGTGTTGTTAAATGAGACGTTAAGTGAGTTTTGCCCTATTTTATGACCTTTCTTGCCACAGTTGTTAAACGAATCTGGCTCCCCACTGACTTCGCTTATCAGAATGTCCCAAAAGGTGATCACATGACCATGGGACACTGCAGTCACCATAAATATGCATCAATTGTGAAGCTTCTCAGTTTTGATCATGTTACCATGGGGATGCTGTAGCAGTTGCAAATATGAAAAATGGTCATGTCACTTTTCTCAGTGCCACTGTAACTGCAAACAGTCACTAAGCAAACTGTTGTAAGTTGAGGACTACCTGTATTGAACTTGTTATTTATGCCCATAGTTTGGGGATAAGATGGGGTGGTACTTTGTTGTTGATGATGATTAATATAATTTGGTGTAAGTCACCTCTGACAGAGAGCCTGTTTGGTGTAGTGTTTAAGGAACCAGGCTATAAACCAGGAAACCATGAGTTCTAAAACCATGTTTTAGGCACAAAGCCAGCTGGGTGATCCTGGGGCAGTTACTCTCAGGCCTAGGACGCCGACAATGGCAAACCTTTTATGAAATGTTGTCAAAAAAATTGAAGGGACTTGTCCAGGCAGTTGAGTCAACACTGATTTGAAGGTGTGAATGTACACATTTCTAATTATATCCTGTGATATTTTTAAAATGACATACTGATTTCCTTAAGCATCACTTTTTCAAAACACTAATTCATATAGTTTTTAACTTTTGAAAATATTGTTACAGTTTTTCTGTGTAGAGCTTTAGATTTTTTCTAAAAATTATTCACTGTAAATGTTTACTTGGATTGATTTGGATTAATGGAAAGTAACATTAGTAGATACTAACCCTCAGCAGTAGATTGGTTGTAATTTAGCACACATTCAGAGCTAAAACATAAGCTTTGAAGTAAATGAAATAAACATACATGTCACTTAGGTTCAAAAGTATGGTAACACAATGATTAGAATGCAGTACTGCAGGTTAATTCACTGCTTAATCCAGGAGTTCGATTCTGAATGGCTCAAGGTTGACTCAGCCTTCCATCCTTCCGAGGTCAAAATGAGGAACCAGCTTGTTGGGGGCAATATGCTGACTCTGTAAACTGCTTAGAGAGGGCTGTAAAACACTGTGAAGCGGTATATAAGTCTAAGTCAGTGCTTCTCAACCTTCCTAATGCCACGACCTTTTAATACAGTTCCTCGTGTTGTGGTGACCCCCAACCATAAAATTATTCCTAAAACCGTTGAAAATATGTGTTTTCTGATGGTCTTAGGCGACCCCTGTGAAAGGGTCATTAGACCTCCAAAGGGGTCGCGACCCACAGGTTGAGAACCACTGGTCTAAGTGCTATTACTATTGCTACATTTAATTTAAAAAAATAGTTCTCCTTCCAGTTAAAAACAAAAAAGAATTTTAAAGAAATTACCAGATAAATTGGAGATCTGAAAATAAGTATAAACCCAACTTTCAAATTATGGGTTAATAGTGGAACAATAAAACAGGATTATCAAATTAGGCATAAATAGTGTTATTTTTATTTCCTTATTAATTTCCGCTTATCATAGTATTTTGGAATGATTCTGTGATATTCTGTTTACAGTTAGCTGCAGATGAATGTACTTAAATTCATGCAACAAATTAGCCATGAAATAATAAGCAATTACTTTTTATACTCTAGGACCTAGGTTATAATTGAAAGAATGAAATATGTTTATAAATCCCTGACTAACATCAGTGAGGCCTCAAATGGGATTCAGCACTGAAGCATTTAGAAACATTTTTATGTTCAAAAAAGTGAAAATATAAAATCAGAACAATACTCTTTTATTTGGAGAGGAAACAGGAAACAAAACTGCTCACCCCTCTTCTTTTTGAATATCCAGTTGAATCCTTTGGATGGAAACATGCTGGAATACGGTCACTAGATTCTGCAAGAAAAACTTGCAGTCTTAAATATTTAACATGTATTAATTTATAAATATGAAATAACATTTAAATAATTTAAATTCCACATAGAATTAACTGAGAATGTAATTGAGCAGAAAAAGTTCAGTTGTCAGTATTTAGGACTCCATTTATTTTGGGGGGGTATGTTGATTGATTTTGTTGAAATGGAGAATAAAAATTTACTGTAAGTTTTTAAAAATATGAGGCATGCTTCCTAAAGCAAGGGAAGGTTCTCCTTCTCTTTTTTATATATTTCATTAATATATATTTCACCATTTTCCATTACCACTGCAAAACAATATAGACAGATTCCTGTTTAGCTACATCAAGGATGCAACCTCATGGATACCTTAGATCAGTATTTTCAAACTTAGCAACTTTAAGATGCATAGACTTTGACTCCTGGAATTCCCCAAGCAGCATGATCCCTCTGGCAGGAGAAAAATGGGGTTGGAGAATCTATCTTGGCCTGTCAGCAGCTTTTCAGTTCCATTGATTGTGGTATTATTCTGGACCAGTTTAGGGGTTAGGGAAGAGGGATAGAATGCTACAATGGTTCCAGTCAGCTCCAATCAGTGTTGACAGGAAGGGGAGACATGACCCAATATCCCTTCCATAAGGATTGTCTCAGTCCTCTCCCCCCACTCCTCCTGAACTTCTACATCAAACCTTTGGGTAAGGTTATACATTAAACTATACATTAAACTATGGAGAAAGAACAGGCTTGAACTCAGTCTTAGCAAAGCTGAGTGGTTTTAGGTTGAAGACCCCTCCCCCTGAATCTGTAGCGCCTTCTGGACTCATGACTTTTCTTCAAACAGTAGGTGGTAGCTGCAGCTAGGAGAGCCTATGCATCATTTCACCATATGCCCCAATTGTACCCTTTCCTGGATTGGAGCATTTCTCACTGTCATTCATGTTGACGCTATCTCTCAAATGGATTACACCAATGTGTTTTACATGTGGCCGCCCATAAATAACACCTAGGAGCTGTAACTGATCCAGAATATGGTAGATGGGCAGCTATGTACCTTGGTGAGTACCAGCACCTTGGTATACCCCTGCTATACCAAAACTGCACTGGTCCCCATAACTTCTGGAGGAAATTCAATGTGTTAGTTACCTCCTATAAAATCCTTCATGGCATGGGGCAAGGTTATTTTGCAGGACCACCCTGTCCACCCCTGTAAATCCATTAGGGTGTGTAGACTTTGGCTCCTATCTGATAAAAAGTGCCAGCTGACAGGACCCAGGACGTTTGTCTGTGATGGAATGGAGTCCAGAGCTGCAGAAGGGTGGGTTTCTTTCCCAGAGAACAAAGAGACTGAGGAGCTTCAAGTCTTTGGTATGCAAGAAGAAGGATAAGAAGGTGGATCGTCTCCACAGCAATTCGCAGAGTCTAACTAGTAGTTATGCTGGTAATTGCTTTAGTCTGTCAAGATTTTTGCCTATAGGCAAATACAGTAAGGAAACTACAGGCAGTCCCTGACCACAATAGAGTCCAAAATTTTTGTTGGTAAGCGATACATTTCGAAAGTGAATTTTGCTGCATTTTACGGCCTTTCCTGCCACCATTGTTAAGTGAATCAGTACAGTGGTTAAATTAGGGACACAGTTAAGTGAATCTGGCTTTTCCATTGACTTTCTTGTCAGAAGGTCGCAAAAGATGATCACATGCCCCCGGGACACTGCAGCTGTCATAAATATGAGTCCGTTGCTCAGTGTCTGAATTTTGATCACATGATCATGGGGATTCTGCAATGGTCATATGTGTGAAAAATGGTCATAACTCACTTCTTTCAGTGCCATTGTAACTTTGGTCGCTAAAAAATTGTTGTAAATTGAGGACTACCTGTGCTCAGTAGTAACTCCATGTGTTGTTCTTGACTCGTGAACACACTCCTTCCTGAGATTTATTTTGCCCAGAGCCTACTACAATTTTGTAAATCCTTAAAGCATGGGACTGGGACTGGGCGGTTCAGTGTCCTATCAATGTGATTATGTGTTTTATGTGGTCTGAGTTAGATTGTTCTTGGCACCATTGTGTTATTATTTTTAAGCATCTTATATTTTTGTGTGTTGGCTTTTTAATCCTATTTTTTTCCCACTCGCAATTGTGAGATGGATGGCTATATAAACCATTGTGTGGTAAACTAATAAAAGAATTGTGTCCAATATTTAGACACATGTCCATTTTTAAAAACAACAGAAACATGGGGTGTGATTCCCCCCCCCCAACATAATAAATGGAATTTCTCCTTTGTGTCAGTGAGTTCCTTCTGTCTTGTCTCTCTCTTTTGTCTTACTTGTCTTAGGATGGTTGAAGATGTGATGTCTGTATGTTCTCTGTTGTAAGTAACTTTTAACCCTAAACATACCTATTATCAGCAGAAATGCCTCATGGTGTATTTTTCTGTCTACATGTTTATGTATTGTTTTGTCTTGCTTCAGTCTTGCTTAGTTGTTTATTTTTACAAGTTTGTTTGCAGTAATATCCAGTAATGTAGGTCATGATGCCTATATGCAAAAGATTATTTTGACTTTCATCAACATTATTTTGAGTGGGGAAAAAAGGCTGATCAGTACATAAAGTTGAGCAAAACTATTTCTTGATCAATCTATCATCTGTCTATCTGTCTAATGTTGTCCAGTTGAAGTATATGTTTAATTTAATTTTAATTTAATTAATCATATTTCTATGCCGCCCAACTCCCAAGGGACTCTTCATCCCATGTTATTTGGAATGCCAATGTACTTGGCAGATATATCTTTGCAATTAAGCCTTCAGGTGGCAATTTCTATTCTCACTTTCCATGTCATTCTCCATGCCTGCTTGAGAGGCATGCATGCATCATAAAGTCTGGTTCCCGGGAGATGAAACATGAAGCCATAACAGCACCATTTCTCTTTTGATTATATGGTTTAGCATGGGTTTGGCAACATTTCACAGTGTTATAGATGAAAACAACTTTTTTCCATTGATAATACACTTGTTAATGCAACATTTGTTGTTGTAATTTATTTTCTAAATAAGATATGGCTAGCCAGCACGTTTCTCCATGTGTTTAGCAATTGGTTAAGATACAGGTAGTCCTTGACTTACAAATAGTTGCTTAGTGATCCAAACAAACCTATCGGGGAGGTACATACATGCTGATGAAGTTACAAAATCAAATGACCTGGATTTGAAGTTCTAATGGTCAGCCCTCACTGCAGCCTTGTGACTGCACTAGGTACTCCAACAGCTGGGCCGCATTTATGGCCATTAGCAACATCCTGTGGTCACGTGACTGCATTTTACAACAGCTGAAAACTGGCATTTGTTTTCAGCAATGCTGCGTCCTTCATGAACTATTGGTTCACTTAACGACCAAGGTTTTGCTTAACCACTGTAACAATCATAGTGAGTTGCTGAACGACCATTGCAAAAAAATTGGGTGGGCCATGTGACTGATTTATTTTATGATTGTTATGAGTTATGAACATGACAGAGGGGCTCCATTTTGGTTGTAACTCAAGGATTACCTGTACTGATATATTTTATATAAATCAACTCATTTTTGCTTTGGCTTCTTTGTTTGTATTTTGCCATCTCAGAAATTAGTTGAGACATAGCTATAATACTTGAAAATCTTATTCTCATGCAATTGCTTCCCACCAAAACATAATACCAATAACTTTTGGCTAAGTTTATTTCACCTGCTCTGTTTCTGATACAAAGCATTTCTTTCTTTAAGATCTCATTATATAGTTCTTTTTCCACCTGAAATTTGAATCTACCTTAGAAGTCCCCAAGCAGTGAGGGATGGTAGTCTTTTGGGAATATTATGAGAGTATGTGATGGGACAGTCAGATAATGGCTGCCATGAGAAAGTTGTCTATTCACAAAATGGCCATCCAATTTCCCAAACGAATGTTGCTGTGCATGCTCAGCATATTTCTTGCTACTTTGCAACTGATTTTTGTTCTTTCTTTGAACTCTTGAGCTTATTTGCCAAGCAAAAAACACAATTGCGGCAACCCATCATTTTTATTTTCTAAAACAATCTAATCTGGAGTCATTCTTGGAAATACAGTTTTAAAGGCCTGGGTATTTTTTTCAATGTGCCAGTTTCCTCTGTATTTGTTAATATTAAGATCACTACTATCATCAATGGCATCATTTTTTCCCCAAAAAAATTAAGTTTAGGGAAATAAGAAAGAGCAAGAAATTAATTAATTATCTATTGGCACATTGATGCCTATACATTTTTTATATCCTATTCAAATATTTTAATGCTTTGGAGTATAAATATTTATAGTATAACCTAAAGAAAACAAAAAGGATATGGATACCAGCAAATGATACATACTTATTATAAGATTTACTAAATCCTCCAGCAGTATTGTTAACTGCAAACTTGCAGCTAGTGAGAGAAGATAAGATCAAGACGTGAAACCTTGTCCCATATCTGCCTTGCTTAAATTGTATGGTCTTGTTCATCGGTATTTTACATGCATTTTGTTCCTTTGTCATTTGTTTGGCAGTTGAAGTAGGATACCTGAGATGATAGTTTGGTAGATAAAATTGAAGACATTTTCACAACACTTATGTATCAGTAGCTATGTTGGTGTTGCATTTGATGAGCAGTGATATCCTGATAGATCTCAGGGCAAGAACTTATCCTGATCAAGATTCTTATTTACTGAATTATGTTATGTTGGCCATTCTCCAGTAGCACTGTAACCATTTTGTTATTTTCAACAGTACCCACATCTATATCTCATTGTCAGGATTGACTTTTTATCTTAATATAAAACTCAGTTTAATTGAATTCTTGTAATTATCTTATGCTTGATTTTTAATTTGGCAAAGACTGAGTCTAAGAGTGCATGATAGGCAAAGGACATAGCATGCTCTTCTTTGATGTTTATATGCTAAGTTTCTGAAACAGGCAATCTTCATCATAATATATTCATTAGCTGTTTCTTGTTATGTCATTTTTATTGGTTGGCCATTCTCAAGAGTTTCCATTTTCTTTCCAGTGACACTTTTAGGGTGAAAAAGTCACCAAAAAGATCTCCATTGTCTGATGCACCTTCACAGGTAAGGAGCTTCAACAAGCTTTTTTTTAAGTATATATATATATATTTCTGTAGCAATTAATTATCCACTTTCTCAAATCTTACAAAAGAAATGCAGCTCAGGTGACTAGATTGGAAATAATCTTTCCACAGTTAATATTATAGAGCCAGCACAACAAAGGGAAAATAAATAATCATGACAGAAAAGGAGGCATCAAATGGGCAAGCATCAAATAAATGTTAGATGACATTCAACTAATGTTTAGGAGGATTTTAAAATCCCCCCCCACACTTTTTTTTTAAAAAGAAATGTTGAAATTGTTCAAGCCTTCATTGAAATTTGAAACTGATCTTATTTCTTTTTTTGTTGAGCACACAATGAATTTTTGGCTGCATGTGATGCAATCTATACTACCATGAGAGGTGATAATGTTCGACGCTATAGCAATATTTATCTAGAATGATTGGCTGAACTCCAAGGCTAAGTCTCAGTCTGAGGTTCTTATAAACCAAAATGTTTTTTTTTAAAATTTTGCAATAAAATCTATGTAACCTAATCATTAGGGAACTAGGACTAATAAAATGTTAAAAAGACATGATTTAAACAATCATTAGACCTATATTACTTAAGGAGTGATCTTCAAATCTCTGAAATAGATCAAATGTCATCCTTCTACAATTTTAAAATGAAGATCCCAAGACCTGGTTATGAATTAGAATAACTGAAGAGTTCCAGAATTTAGGCCGAGTAATAGTAAAGTAGTTCTTTTCCTGCACCGACAACTATTTACATTTAGTCAAATTCTTAAGAAGAAAGCAAAAGAGAGCTGGATCTATGAAAGAAGACAATTGCTTCTTTCTTTGTAGCACAATAATTTTTTAACCTTTATTTTCTTCTTAGGAATCTACGGCACTGCCTACTACTGAAACGCCGTCTGTTGTATCCACTGTGGTACATGCAACAGATGAGGAAAAACTGGCATCTTCTGTGGGTAATCAGAAATGGACTTGTATGACAGTGGATCTCGATAATGATAAACAGGATTATCCTCAGCCATCAGATCTCTCATCATTTGTAAATGAAACAAAGTTCAGCTCCCCTACAGAAGGTAAACTGGAAAAAAAGAAGATAGAATCGCTGTTTTATTTATTTGAGGAGGGAAATGTTGGCCCAGAATAACGAGAAACAAAGGATATCATTGCTATCATAATATACTTACTGGTCCATTTAATTAGACATTATTTATTTATTATTATTTTTTAAAATTTATTTATAAAATTTATTGGCCATCCATCTTGCCATAGAGTAACTCTGGGCAGCTTACAGTCATAAAATATGTCTATACATATACAATTAAAACAACAATAATTAAAATCAGACATTAAAACCTAAGGACACATGGGGAGGAGGGGGCGGAGTGAGGGGAAGTGGGATTTATTATTACTTGATCAACCACCTCCCCAGTGCTGTTCCCCTACTGGGGCCCCAATCCAACTGGCAGAGACATGTCTTTAGGGGGGTTGGGGCCAACCTCACATCGGGGGCAAGATGTTCCAGAGAGCAGAGAGGGTTCTTCTGGACCCGACCAGGTAGAATAATCGGTGGACAGGACCCTCAGCATGCCTCCTTTGCCAGCACGAGTGGAACGGCCCAATCCCAGTGGAGTGAGATCGTCCCTCAAATTAGCTTTATCTTGATTATATTAAAACACTCTTTTTGTGCCAAGACTCTTTAGAAATGGTCCAAAAAATTCTGAAGTCAATAGTTAATTCTAATTGCCATAAGTGAAATAATACCACATGTTACATTTCTGTGCACTATTGCATCTTTGTGGAGTGCCCACATTCAAATTCTATTTTTGATTTTATTGCTACATTAAATGGCTCTGCTGTTGATAAAACCCTAGTAAGTAGGTATTATTCCAACAGGAAAGAAAAGAAAAGGAGCCTGCTAGAGTATAGACAGGTTTGTTTTATTTACTAGAGGGGCGGGGCAGTTAAACATGTGATATTTCACCTTCATAATTGAACTGCATGATTTATTTTGAATATGTAGATCTTATTTCTTAATCTGGGATGAAGTTGTGTCAACACATCACAAAGATTCAGGTTGGGAAAAGGTGGTATTCAGAAGATTGGAAATATGTTTTATCTTTGGGTTACCACCCACTCAGTATATACATCCTAATGGGCATGTAATCAAGAGAGACTGTGCATAAAAAGAGCTACTTCTCAATATTTATTGACTTTGTGATACTTTTATTGGGGTAATTATTACAATAAATGAATCAACTCAGAACTTTTACCTTTCACCACATCTCATTGTCAACAAATGCTATCTTCATGCAGCATTATGGATATAACTAGCAATGATACTAATTTGATTTATTTATCTAATCATCATCCACTAGATTCTCGGTAATTTAATTTAGTGTTACATTGACAATTTTAACTTATCAACCAAGAGTCTTTTGAGTTAAGCAGGCTATAAAAACTGGTATAAGTAAAAAAAAAAATCAAAGAAATTTGAAATAATAACTCTCCTCCCTACCATTAAAAGAATATTGAAATAATTCAAATTAATAATTCAATGCCTGGTGGAAAAGGAGTGTCTTCAATATTTTGAGGGGAATGCCAAAAGCAAGGTTCTAGGTACACTCTATCAATCTATTTGATAATTTTATGGTCACTACTAAGAAAGTAAATGTTCTCTTTACTATCAGAGAAGATAGGACCATAAGTATAATAATTCATATAATACTGCATAGACAGTAAGCATTTTGTGACCAAATAGCATAACATATTTGCATTTTCTCTGAGATCAACATTTCTGCCATTTTTTATTTCTTATATAGGTTAAAATGTTTCCTTAAGTCTAATGGTTCTGTTTTGCTCTTACTTCCTACAGTCCCAGCGAACTCTTTGGCTTTAGGGTACATCTAGGAGAAGAAGTGCCAGGTAGTAGTAAAAAACAATGAAGAGCATTTAAAATAATCATATGAAAAGCATTGAACTTCCTAATAGAACATTAATTTTAACAATGACTTAACCTACAAGAACCAAGTATCTTGAGGAAAAAGATAATTTCTGACTAAGGATTAAATATAGTGAGAGATTTTAGATTTTGTGAAGGTACTAGTTAAAGGACAACCACCTAATATTTAAAGGAAATGGTATCCTTTCTTAAGGGAACCATCCTATTAGAATTGTAATTTCTATCTGAGACTAGCACATTATGGTTCAATACCTACTCATCTATGAGTCACAGAGCGACCTCAGTCTAATTACCTTTGTATAGATATACCTGCCATAGCAGCTTATTGTAGGAATAATATTGCAACAAGAAAAAAGGAATATGTATTCTATCTTGAACTTCCTGAAAACAAGCTGGAATAAAAATGAAATAAATAAAGTGTGGTAGCTATGGAAACTTAAGTAAATATTGCAATGTTTAAACAAGATTTGCAGTCAAAGGTACATCATTATTTTGGTAACATAGGATTTAAGGACAATGCAGGCTGGCATTTAACCTCAATATAAATACTAATTTGTCTAAGGGTTACTTGTGGCTCACATTGCCTATTAATTATGGTAGTGTTTCCTCTGTGGAGGTTTTTTAAACATAATCATACCTTCCCCCTGGAATTTCCTATGGGCTTCATTTGGAGACTTCAGAGTAATTAAAGCATTCTGAGAATTTGCACTACTTTCTCCTATTAGCTGAATACTGAGATAAGGAAGAATGCCAATTAGCAAAGGAAGAAGCTCAAGGTGACTATATTATAGTTAAATATTGAAACTAACACCCAAATATCTCAGAGGTCCTGTTTATACCTTTGCTGATTCATTAGAATTCTTTCTTGTCTTGCTCTTCAATATAATTAATCATTTCAGTTGTGAAATATACATATAATTTTGTTCTGAATTGCTAGCTTGTATAATATTTGGGAATCTCAAGGGTTAAACAGTTATCAGCCCTCGTTTTTAAAACTCAGTTGTATTTATGGTAAAAATTTCAGTATATATTTAGAGAACAGAAAGTAATACAAGCTTCATATGCATATGGTCAACTTTTCCCACCTTGAAGCTATGCAGGTTTTCTGGACATCAGTTCCCATGATCCTCAATCAGCTGCTCTCAGTTGTCAGGTGGGAAAGACCAGGTCCACAAATGAAGGTCCAATCAAACTGAATTATTGCTGTATAGGAATGATCTCAAACGATGGTTAGCAGCTGCTTGGAGTTAGAAAAGGGTACACCGAATTCAAGGATGGGTTATTCATGTGATTGTGACTATGTAGGGATTCTAGATTTAACTCCACCTCCAGCTTCTGCCATTCCATTGCCTCCCCAATTCTCTAGGCTGGAAAAACTTGTCTTTTCCAATAAACATTGCCAGTAGAAATTCTATTTTATAAAAATTGTGTGTGAGCAAATTACTCCAGAATTTGCTTGTTTTTAATTAATTTTCATTTAAAATTCATTTTTATTGTTAATTTTATTATTCCATTACTATTAGGAACATGTCCATATGTTTGGAAGAGCAGATTTTTTTTTTTAAGTTGACTTAAATAATAGAAAGCAGCTATTTTTATTTTATTATTAAATTAGTCAGGATTTAACTAGCAACAATTGGTGTAAGATATTTAATTGATACCATGTTTGCATTTAAAAATTCCAGAAATATTTCATCTGGCATATTAAAAGCGAGTTAAAGAATTATGCATTTTCACACTAACAAATGCCACAATTAACACATTTTTCTGTGATTGTGGCAGGATTTGCTTATAGCATTCTTTTATTTAACCGATGTAGTTTTATAGCAGAATATGTAGAAATGTTACACAAACAGAATCATCCAGAGCTCTATAGGATAATATATTTCACTCCTTTCTACATATAAACCACACGTAGAAGGATTTATCATCTTATCCACAGAATATTCTCCCTCAATAAAAGAGAATGAGGAATTGATGATACTTGAAAAGTAAACTTTAATTAGAATCCCAAGTATTTTATTGTAACAGGTTTATGCCACTGGTGATTAAATATATGGTTGGGATAAAAATCATAAGGAGTAAGATTAGATTTATTCTGAATTCATAAAATAACTGCCATAAAACATTACATAATACAAATGTAATAATAATTTCAGTTTGTTCTTTTCATATCTTTTTAAAAATGAAGACATTTCTTACCTCCATGACACTTTTCATTTTAAACGGAGAGGACATATGATTTCAGCTAAATATATTTCCAAACAATGATTTAAACTGGTTTAAACCATTTATATATGTACATGGTCCACTGCCTCATAGGACTCTACCTTTGCCGGAAAATGAGCTCTTTTCCTATCTTGTAAATGTTTTATTTTCAACTACTGCTCCTTAGCATCCAGGCTTGTTCATGACAATTCAAAGTAGAAAAATGGGAATATAATTTCCATCAAAAACCAGATACATAACTGGAGGTTTTAACCTTTCCCCAGGTTTTTTGGGGGGGAGGGATAGGATATTTGTTAGTTAGTTAGTAGGGCAGACAAGTACTTTTGTATGGAAGAAGGCATTTGGGTAGAATGGTCTCATAGAAAGAGATATCAAGGGCAGGGTAACATTTGAGCGTCGTCTCCTTTTGCCCTCTGAATCCTCACCAGGCTCATTTCCTGTTCAAATGTTCAGTAGCAGCTGAAGCTGCCTAGATTTCTCCTACCATAAACCACTGATCTGACACTTGCTGCTGAATATCAGTTTTCTAAGCAAATGCTTAGGGTAGCAGCATTCTTTTCCCACAGAGGAGGACTTTCCATGTGTTTAATTGAACTTAATGCTCCTGGATGTTTTCATAACTGTTTCTGGAAATACAGTCTGGCAATTCCACATGGTGCTACTTTTTTTTTTCTTCAGTAAGGAAAGACCTTGTTTAAATAATTTGAGCAGATCCATGTTGGGAAGAAAGAAATAACTCTGGAAAAGGCATCAACACTTTTTCCTTTATAGATAACTATGTGGGATACCCTAGCTTTGACAATTATTAGACTTATTAAAAATATTTTTGGAGGGGGTAGTACTTTCCTACACTTCATGTAATAATCAAAGGACGCAGTGGTCTTTTCGCATATAAATATATACCCTATTCATGAATAAAAGATGCATTGTCATATTAAATTGTATTGTTTAACAATTCAGCAGTTTATAAATAGATTTTCCATTCGAACAAATAGTACTTAAAAATTAACTTAGCTATATATTAATAGTCTAAAATTGGTTGGGTATTTGTTGTATTTTGGGTTTTTTTGAAAATCACACCAGTTAATTTGACAAAGAATGAATGAAGAAGAAATGAAGAATATGTATTTAGTATAAGGGCCTAAATTATAATTGGAATGAACAAACTTTAATCCTAGTTTATGCTTTCAAACTGGCCAAAAATCTTTATTCAGCATGTTCTGGGTTATAATTTATTACTCTGATTTTAATGTCTAGGAAATGTATGCTGTCCATAAGAAAACATGTTTCCTTTCCTTACTAAAGACATTTTTACTTTGTATTTCAGAGCTGGAATATGGCAACACATATGAAATAGAATACATGGAAAAAATTGGTTCTTCCATAGCTGTAAGTTTCTACTTGTGGATTTCTTGTTGCTTCCTCTTACAGTATTTCTCTAGGATATATATAGAGGAAAGTCACAGTGCTTCCAATTGAGCTATTCATTTGCATGCAGAACAGCTAAAAGGTTTGCCAATTTATTCTGTAATTACTTTGATATACCTGAATTTTGGGAATTACTTTTAGCATTGTAATATGTTTCATGATATGATGTGATGTGATGTGATGTGATGTGATGTGATGTGATATGATATGATAGTTAAGAGACGTTCCAGGTAAAGATGTATAGTAACATTGTTCTTATATTTCTTTGACATAAGGATGATGATGGCCAGACAAAGCAATCTTTGTACCTTATGTTCAATGCTCAGCAAGAGAGTCCAATCAAGTCTCCTCCAGCCCGTTTATCAGATTCTACAACTCCTTGTTCTGGGTACTTTTTTGCATTATCTATTAAACCAATTGTAAAAAATATGGAATAATCAGAGCTAGAAATAGTTTTTTTCTTGAAGCTTTTGTATTATTCCACATACTGCATGATAATGTGGTAAATTATTTAATTGAGTATGCTTTGGAATAAAATCAGTTAACATTTAAATATGTTGTTACCCCATTAATGTACGAGAGGATAAATTGACAAAATAATTCATAAAGAGATTGATATCTACAACTTTAAATAGCTAATAAAAGCTGTATTCGTTTATAGTAGTAATGCTGGCAGGTAAAGATTTAACAATAGAATGAACTAAAAAATAAAATATTGCATCATAGTTATCATATAGAATAGAATCATATTGTTCTCCTACCTCAGAAGTCTGCCATTCAGATCAGGGGTGGGTTCTAAATTTTTTTACTACCGGTTCTGTGGGCGTGGCTTATTTTGTGGGTGTGGCTTGGAGGTCATGTGACTAGGTGGGTGTAGCTAGCTGGTCAGAGTCATTTCTGGAAGGTCCTCGCACTTACGACCAAGTCCTCGACTTACGACCTGACTCATTTGTTTGCTTTTAACACTGATTAGCTGTAGGACGGCCCTTTGAAGCCCCGCGGCAAGAGTTTAAACAGTTTTTTTCCCTCTAGTCATCAGCTGGGACTCAGGAGGCAGCAATAGATTGGGGGTGGGACCAAATAAAAGGTAAGAATAACGTGGGTGGGTGGGAGGGTGGGGGGGAGAACCGGTTCGGTGACGTCATATCATCACCGCTACCGGCTTGGCCGAACCGGACCAAACCGGGAGGAACCCACCACTGATTCAGATGCTGGGATAAGACCCTGTGTTATGCCAATCATTTTAAACAAATGCTAATTTTAAACAGAAATAATAACCGTAATCTTGAGACTTAAGACTGAGATGTAACGAAAGAATATGTAGGCAGTTTGGCAATCAGTGAATGTATTTGTTTAACCGGTTCAGAAACATACTATCCTCTTTCCCTTAGGTCAAGTCTGGAAGAAACAGAAAGCCAGCTTTCCTGCAGCATAAAACTACAGCACCCAGCTTCACGATCCCTGGTAGCTAATCAAGAATCATCAGTACAGTCCTCTGATAAAACAAAAGAACTGGAATCTGTATCCATAGGAAGTGCTTCAGACAACATAGTAAGTTATCAAGGGTTTGGAACATGTCTTCATTCTGTATCTAGCTTGACTGTAAATCAAGCTTGCTGTAGATCATCGGTCTGAAACTGTTTGACCCAATTACCCCTTTTCCCAATTTTCAATAATGCCCTCCAACCCCCCAGATTCTGTTGTTCTACACAAACATTTTAGCAGTCCCAAACTGGATCTTCAACATATAAATTAGCAATTATAAATTATTGTTTTACTCCCTTATTTAGGACATGCCTCTCTGTTCTAAATTATCATTTCCCTAAGAGTGGAGAAATGGCCTAGGGCCATTTCTTGAAAAATATAAAATATATAAAATTATTCTCCCTGCTTCGATAAGACTTGTACAAATCCCATCTCTTGTTTTCTCATGTCTTCAACAAACAAACAAATAATACAACACTAGTTCCCAAAAAAGTTTCCTAGCTATAGTTTGGGAAACTCTGCTATGGACTGCTTTCTCCAAACCTGGTTGCGATTTGTGGTTCTTACAGATCTAGTGTTATCAGTCTGCCAAAAGTTCTTTGGAAATGGCATTGTTTCATAAGTAAAAAAGAGTGTAACAGAAAATAATTGTTTTAATTTTTTTTAAAGAAGAATCTACAGTATATGTGAACTATTCTGTGGTATTCAATTTCTTTTTTTTTCTTGCCAAATCTCAAGTTTTTATGGTCTATGTGAAAAAATATATATTTTACTTCAGATTTGGCTGGCATTTGCCATATATTTACAGGAGCTAATGAGCAGTTTTAATTATGAGTAGTTCTCTCAATTTATTTATCTTTCTTGCTCTTCAGATCAGTCCTGAAGATCCCTACGTTTCCGCTGATGCTCTCCTTAGTAGAATATCTCATCCGCCTTCAGTATGTGATCAGCTTCAGTATCTGGAGCCTGACTTAGCGGAAAAGAATCCCCCAGTATTTGCTCAGAAACTTCAGGTTTGTAATGCAGATTTGTTTGTACTCCTTATGAATGTTCTGGTGTGATGAGGGCAGATTTCTAAAGTGTAACAAAACTCTGCTATAAAAAAAATTGTTCATTCATTCTCTCTCTCTCTCTCTCCCTCCCTCCCTCCCTCCCTCCCTCCCTCCCTCCCTCTTTCTCTCTCTCTCTCTCTCACATACACACACACAAGTTGAATTAGCTTATTTCAAAAGAAAAAGGGTGTATAATATATTGATTTTTCATAGTTTCACATATTTCCAATAATTCAGTATCTGCTATGTGAATGGTCTGTCTACATCTTTACATTACATTCATTTCGTCTACCCAGCTCTCTGGTCATGACAGATTAATGGAGATTCAGTCACGATGCTGCATCTGCTATCTTGCAGATTTTGACATGCCCTTCTCCCCTCCCCCTTCCCTTGTCAGCTATAACTAAACAGTGTTTAACTGTGCTTAACTATAAACATCCTTTCTAAAACCATTTTGGTAACATTTTACTGATACTAACCATTCAATATGTAGTTTATAGCTACAGCTCAGGTATGTGTAATGAGCTCCCTGAGGAATAAATGCACATCAGAAAGGGTTTTATGATTAATTTAATGAAAAAATTAAGAGAGATGGTTCCAGGTTGCATGTTAAACATTTCATATCATTTCTCCTTAAATCTTGCATCACAATGACCTATAATGTAACTCTCTTGGCTTAGCATGTTGTGTTGATGGATCAGCCATTGTGGTTTCTTCAGTCATTGGTAGTTAAAACCCATCATGGTCTAGTACAGTGTTTCCCAAACTTGGGAACTTCAAGATGTATGGACTTCAACTCCCAAAATCCCACAGCCAGCCATGCTGGATGGGGAATTCTGGGAGTTGAAGTCCACATTTCTTAAAGTTCCGAAGTTTGGGAAACACTGGTCTAGTAGAGTATGTGGACCTCAGCCAACGTATGCAATATCCTAAAACAATGGTACTAATGTATTCTGTAACTATGGGCATTTGTCTTTGCATCATGCTTAATGGATTTTCCCTGTACATTGTCACAACCATCTCACTGGCAGGAGGAATTAGAATTTGCTGCAATGAGGATAGAAGCCCTGAAGCTAGCCAGACAAATTACCTTGTCTTCTTTCAACTCCTTAGATACTGAGGTATCTTCTGTGCCTGCAGTTTGTGTGTTTAAAAACCGTGTTGCTGCTTTCACTTTAACAATAAGTTTTTCTGAGTGTTGATGCTGGATGATTTTGGTCCATTGCTATGTAGAAAGATAGAAAAGAGCATGTGGAAGTTTCTTTTCTCTAATCTCGGACGTGATCACGTTCCACTTTGCAGATATGTTTCAAAAATGACTATCACATGATGTGGTGGCGCAGTGATTAGATGCAGTATTGCAGGCTAATTCTGCTGACTGCCAGCAGTTTGGCAGGTCAAATTTGACCAGTTCAAGGATGATTCAGCCTTCCATCCTTCTGAGGTCGGTAAAATGAGCACCCAGATTGTTGGGGGAAATATGCTAACTGTAAACTGCTTAGAGAGGGCTGTAAAGCACTGTGAAGCGGTATATAAGTCTTAAGTGCTATTGCTATTGATCACAGGAATAAATTTGGCCGTCATTTTCTATACAGACTTGTGATTTTATGTTTAATTTTTTGATACATACTGGAAATGTAAATGAGCCTGGTAATTTCTTTAGAAGGGCATGGAAAAGACACTATGTATGTAATGGAGAATATTCAGAGTTTGGAGAGTAGCAGACACACATGTAATCTTAGAAGAATTAGGTGAATATATGAGAAATATTCACAGTTGTGTGATGTATATCACTTTATATCCAAGAGTTCAGTATGGCAATAATTCAGAAAACTGTTCTGTGGGGGGCGGGGTGTTTTTTTTATCCTTTTGTAAATGCAATAATTCACCGCTATAGCATGTTATTGCTTGAAAACTGGCTTTATCTGCAGGCCAGTGATTGCAGGTATCAATGTCTTGAGAAGTGAAAACTGGTACTCACCCAGTTTAAGAAATGGATGGGTTTGGATCCAGGATTTTCTTCCCACAGTTTCTTCTCAACTTTTCCCATCTATAGAAAATTTCTGATCTAGAAAGCTCTTCTTTCCTCCTGTAATCCCCCAGGCCCTTTCAAAATATTTCCTATATGGTTGTTGGCCACATAAAACTCAGTGAGAGGTGGTTTTGCAAAAGAATGGGAGATTAAGCAAGCTGCATCTATCTCTTCCCATTGGCTGGTACAAATGAAACTGCATCTAGAATTGTTGCCATGGGGGATGGGATGGACTTTAAACATTGTCTAAATTGTCCAAAACTGCAATAAAGAGCTTTAATCATAAGCAAGAAAAGAAACGGTGTCTATATAGTCAAACAGAACCCGCAAACTGAGGTATCCCTTTGTTGACTTAAACAATTTTGACAAACTCTGTGAGGTCAAAACTGCACACTGCATACCAGAAGCTGCAAATGCCAGGATTCCTACCTGTGTGTGTGTGTTAGGAATTGTCTGTAGATGACGGTTTTGATCTTTAGGCAACAATCCACATCTCAATTGCCTAAGAAGGTTTAAAATAATGGGAGGAAACAGACTCTAAGAGGAGGAAGAGGCCTCGTATGTTAATCTCTTCTTCATTCATTAAGATCAAAAATGTTTTGTTTCTTTTTTTTTTCCCTGCTATGCCCACAGCATGCTGGCTGTTGACATATTGGAGTGAAGTTGAGCCTGTGGTGCATGCAGCCTAAACTAGAGTGAAATGTTAGTTTTTAAATCATGCATTTGATCTGTGTAGTTCCCCTGGAAGACTCCTTATGGTGATATCAGTAGAAAGGAGCTCATGGGGTTTCCCTTATTGGAAGTTATGTGTGCTTTGTGTTTTGTTTTTTTTTTGTTTTTTTTAATACTGATGCCATCTGAATATTTGCCTGCCAGTGCTGTACCACAGAGTGAAAACATTCATTTCAAAACAGGGAGGTATGAACTATTGCAATTAATTTATTAGTTGTAATCTATACAACAGACTACCAAGCTGTACATTTTAACATAATTATACTTTCCACTATAGTGACCGAAACTCTGCTGTTGGTGATTGTGACCAAGGTGGATTGGGAGCAAAGTCTTCCTATTTTTCGTCTCTGGTTATTTAGTTAAATTGTGTAGTCTGAAAAATCGGATAGGTCTGATAGTATTTCATTTGAATCTGTATCAAATGAATACAGATTCATTCTTATATATTTAATTTTTTCATACTTCAGATTTTTTATTCTGTGTTTCCAGTATTGAGCATTATAACTAATATATTCACACAAACACACACACACACACACACACACACACACACACACAGAGAGAGAGAGAGAGAGAGAGAGAGAGAGAGAGAGAGAGTAAGTCTCCTTGGTCTGATTTAATGAAGATAATGCTAAAAGAGTTCTTTACTTCTACTAGTTAAAGCCTGCAACTCCAACATTATAACATCTCTGAGTTAAATCTCTAACAGAGCTGGTTCTGTATGTGCTGAGAATAGGAAGTTGGGAGGGACATCCATCACTACATGTCACCTCCTGGGAAGCTTTCACAAGCCAGGAGGGACATGAATCTAAAACACAGGTGCTTGCGCAGATACTAGAGAGTTGCTCCTTGGGAGCAACAGGGTCAAACTGTTCCCAGATAACAGGGCAAGAACCTGCCTCTGGGGCTTCCACAGGACCAGCAACCATGCCGGCATCTATCTTTGCTTGTCATAATGTCGCCAGAGGGGATCACCTGACCTGGAACATTGTAACCATCATAAGTACATGCCAGTTGCCAAGTGTCAAACTTTTGATCACATGACCAGTGGGATGCTGCAATGACCGAAAGTGTGAAAAACTATCATAAATCATGTTTTTCAATTCGGTATAACTTTGAATAGTTACTAGACAAACTGTTGTAAGTTGAGGACTACCTGTACACTGCCTGCCTAGTTGTTTTGTTTTGTTTCTAAAACAAATTTGTCCACTTTTCAAGGTCAAGAAACACACGCCAAGGATTTCAGGAAGGGTATTTTATTTTTATAAAATGCATTAACAGCTCTGCTGCCTTCCACTCCTGGAGGGTGTGCAGCAGGGGTGTCAAACTTGCAGGCCTGATGCATCACGTGCTGGCCATGCCTACCCCCAGTTTAGCGAAGTAGGGGGGGGGAGTCACGATATGTCACGTGATGCTGACATGACGATGAGAGTTTGACACTCCTGGTCTACAGGAATGGGTTGTTCTAAGTCTCCTTCTCATACTTTCTAGTTTCATTGGGCTGAGCAACTGTTTACCTCACATATCACCTTCTCAAAGCCAGAGTTAATTCCTCTTAGAAATTGTAAGCCACTTCTAGGATTGATACACATTTTCTGCTGAGCTGAGGCTGCCACAGTGACTGGGGAAATATCACATGAAGCAGATTATATAGCTGCTTCCTCCATATTCCCAGCCTAATGCTTATCGAGCCTGGTTGACTCTACAGTGTCAAAGGTACTAAATAACTTAATATCATGTGGAAGCCATGAAGTATTGCAAAACTACTGGGCATTTTCCCAGAATGAATCAACAAGATGTTATATAATTATATGAATAGCTTGTTAAGTAATTTATCTTAATTAAGTTTTTCAAGAGATTGTTGTGACAAATCTGAAAAACAAGCTTTTGGGCAAGCTGCCCTGATTAAATTAAACATAATCTTCCCCCTGTAACATGTTCAGTTGGGAAGTACAATTTGATTTACTTCTTTAAGCAATCATTATTATAGTCAACATGTTAAATCAGTGATGAGTTGATCTAATAGAACATTCATAGATTTACAGTAGACAAGAAATAAATTGAAATTAAGTATGTAGAATTTTCTGAAAATATTGAATTTTTTTTAATCTCTTGTTGCTATATTGCTTCATTTAAAGGATCAACATTTCTGCTTCATATCTACTACTAAATTGCAATTTTCCCCAAAAATATTTGTATTTTTTATTTTTATCTGTATAATTATTTTGTGCTATGGTAAAATGCTTTGGATTCTATGCAAATGAGAGCTCAATTCAAATTATTTGAATGCATAATAAAAATTTCCAATAGTGAACCTACTAATCTTCATGATAATCTTGGTACCAGCTATAAAATCAGTATAATTGCTCTTATAATAATGTTTATATGTAAATAATATTGAATTCATTTTCCATGTGTTTCAAGGGATACATTTTAGTTCTCATTTATAGAATAAAAAGGAAACTTCATGTTAGGATAGATAAATTAGTCTTAGTTTGGGGCCATGTAATTTCATACATGAATCATAATTGCATTGGTGGTTTTATTATTATTTTTAGAGAAAGAAAGTGTGTAGGTATGTCTGTATAAATATTTCAAAGTAGACATTTTCGTACATATTATTTTTGAAACCAAGAAGTATCTGAATATTTAGAAAAGTAAAAATTTGCAAGCAAAACAAAGAACCCATTCCTTCACATGCATTCTCTAGAATAATATGAATCAAACCACTTCTCTTCTAAAGATAAAACAAAGGAAATCCTCAAACAGTTCTTGAATTTTATATAGAGATAGATGATGATGATGATGATGATGATAGATAGATAGATAGATAGATAGATAGATAGATAGATAGATATAGATAATATATAGTATATATAATAGATAATCTAATTATCTAACTATAATATTATCATAAAAATTATGGAATTAATATGTCTAGCTATAGCTAGTGTTACTGAATAACTCTTAAAACAGTTTGCTCAGTCTCATGTATCTTTACTAATCTCTTATAATGAAGAATTTATAAGAAATCTTCACTAATTTGTTCTATTGTGAAATTCTGAATATAACATAAAACAAGCAGTTTTATGGCTTTTATCAGTTTATATCAGTCAGAACTGATCTGAACTGATCAGTTCTTATCAGTTCTATCAACTGATAAGAGTATCAGTTACTCTTAACAATAATTTAAACTATATAAAATATATTATAATAATAATAATAATAATAATAATAATAATAATAATAATAATAATAATAATAATAATAATTTTATTTCTATACCGCCCTTTTCCCGAAGGACTCAGGGCGGTGTACAGCCTATTTAAAAACACAAGACAAAACATCGATTAAAAATTTAAAATAATTAAATAAATTTGGCTCAATTTAAAACCCCACAAATTTAAAATACTCCAGTTTAAAATTATTATGTTGATAGCCCAGCCTGGCGGAACAACAGGGTCTTCAGTGCACAGCGAAACACCCGGAGGTCGGAGATCTTATGTATTTCCGGGGGCAGTTCATTCCACAGGGCTGGGGCTCCCACAGAGAAGGCCCTCCCCCTGGGTGTCGCCAGCCGACATAACTTGGCTGATGGCACCCTGAGGAGACCCTCTCTGTGGGAGCGAACTGGCCAGTGGGAGGCTATTGGTGGCAGAAGTCGGTCTCGAAGGTACCCGGGTCCTGTGCCATGGAGCACTTTAAAGGTGGTGACCAACACCTTGAATCGCACCCGGAAGAATTTACCCAGTACATTGGTGATTATTCATTGCTTTGTACAAATAGGCAAACCGATTAGAATTCCTATTATCAGATTATATTTTCCCAATTATTTAGTCCAAGTATCTAAACTGGATTTGTTCATACATGATATAAAAAAGATAGTTAGTGGAAAATAATTTTGTTTCTTCCTAAAAACCAAAAGCAAGAATCTGAATTGCATTAGTTCTGTGTAAAGAAAATAGCAGAAGCAATCTCTGATATTTTCTTAGCTTCCTTTTGTATATTGCCGTTGAAAGAATTTGTAATTTATAGTTTCCTGCTTAAACTTGCCTTAATTAACTTTAGTTGTTATTTAGTCACTGATTAGGTGCTTGAATCAAATATTGATTGTTATGAATTACTCTAATATATTCCATTTTAATTAAAAATGTTCAATCAGATCTAGCAGTAACTTAAATATTAAGTAAATACATTGTTAATATTGTGATCACATTCTTATAAAAATAAATCCACATCCAACAATTTCATATTTTATCCTAAATTATTCTACCATCTGCAGAACTATATTTAGGTAATGCTGTGTAGTGCTTTTAGTAATAAGGTTAATATCAAATAAAAAGTGAAAAAGTATAAGCCAAAGCTATAACTATGTTATATACATTTTAAATATGGTGGCCAAAAATGTGTTTTGAGGTATTTGTTGGAGCATACTTTGTTCCAACAAAAGAACTTCATTCTTTTCTTTTGCTTTTGACTTTCAAATAAAATTCATTTTGCTTTTGCTGATCTTTTTGTCCGTTGTTGTATGGTGAATAATACACAGCTCAGTAGATGTCAGGCTGCATCCTGTACAAAGTTGTCCAAATGTATTTTGCTTACTGAGAACTTGATATCATTTTAGCAAAAAAATTGTTTTTAATGAAGAATTGCAATAGCAGCAAAAAAGTGTTCAAGCACTAGGGTAGGGTAGGGTAGGGTAGGGTAGGGTAGGGTAGGGTTGGGATAGGGTAGGGTAGGGTAGGATAGGGTAGAATAGGACAGGACAGGACAGGATAGGACCTTGGAGGACTTCTACTCCAGCCCCCTGCTCAAGCAGGAAAACCGATACCATCAGACAAGTGACTGTCCAGTCTCTTCTTAAAAACCTCCAGTGATGGTTTATACAGTACTAGAGAACCTGCCTACTTGAGTAGGCAAGTTCTCTATAAACCAAACTTTTCTATCTGAGCTCATAATTTTCGGAAATTATGACTTGGAATCCTGAAAGATACAGTCCAATATATTTGAAAGTAATCAGATTGGGGACGCTTACAAAAGCATACTCTCTTTCCAAACTAGTTTTAATGATCATTTTTGGTTCTGAAGCTCAGTGAAATGGTGCTTTGCAAGAAAGATGGGAATTTCCAATATTCTGTGTATCGCCAATGTGTAACAGTAACTCTTGTGAAATAGCTTAAGGATACACTAAGATTAATATTTTAATTAATTAATTCCACATTTTTTTTTCACATTGCATTCTTTTCTCACTTCTTTTGAAATAGTTCATCACTGGAACATATTACTAACTGTTTGTCCTTCTTTGAAATGAACAGAGAGACCCTGCAGTTGACACTTCAATCTCGAAAAGTGCATTGTACTCCCGGATAAGCAGCTCAGAGGGAGAAAATGCCTCCACTTTGCTTTATAAGCAGCAAGACCTGGATACCGCCTTAAGAGTTACCAGGGAAGAGGTAATGGCAATTTTAATCACGGAAGACTGACTGTTTATTGGTAGGCATTTTACAAATGCAATCATTTTTTGAAGTTTGTTCTTCCAATTAATTCATTGTAATAAAATTAAATTAATGAATGATTTCCAGTTACTGATCAATGCCAACATTGTGGTATTTTTTTTAAAGAATCAATTCTCCTTATCTGTTAAACATAATTCAGTTAATGTGTTCCAGTAATTTCTTTAAATTGCTGGTTCCTCATCCAATAAGGAAGTATATATTATTCTATATAGTAATATATATTAATAATAGCTAACAGAAAGCAAGAATTCATTATAGAAAAGTTGATTGGGCAAATTTGGTGCATGTCCCATCTATTTTTGATCATAATTATTCATTGAGAAAATCCATGTATGGTTGGAATATTTATTATATATCTCTGTTAGGATTTATTTTTTTACCATACAGAAGACTACATAAGAGCACCATTTTTTTGTTTATATATTCAAAGAGTTTGGTAAATATTTGGCAAGACAATTTTTTTTTGTAGAACTAATATAGTAAACAAATTAGTCTAGGTCAGGGGTGTCAAACTCGTGACAACACGTCATCATGTGATGTATCACAACTTTTTCCCCCTTTGCTAAAACGGGGATGGGCGTGGCCAGCAAGTGATGCCTTTGGTCCGCAGGCAACAAGTTTGACATGCCTGGTCAAGGTATAGTTTTGTGTATTTGGGAACATAGATATTTAGGTAGCTCTTTAGGTAGGTGTAATAGAATTCGCATAAAGGCAAGAATAGGACTCACAGGATTTCTTACCTTGCAACTTTAAGACACATGGATTTCAACTTTCAGGATTCCTCAGACAGGCTGGCTAGGAATTCTGGCAATTGAAGTTTATATGACTTAAACTGGCTAAGCTTGAGAAACCCTGATGTATGACATTACTCAAAAAATCGCTTCCTGTGGATTCCAAAGCAATCCATTCTCTGCAATAAACTATGATTTTTGAAGAAGTATAATTTGCTTGTATTTGTGCTTTGTCTTAGCTTAGCAAGAGGGAGAAATGCCAACATATTTTGATTTTATAAAAGTGGCATCTGCAGCAAAAAGTGATGACATAGAAAGGACATGCACATGGTGACATCACATGTGCCACAATCATATACTTGCATTCTGATATCTGACACAAGTATGTGTGTTACCACAGCATTTATGTGGTAACATCATTGTGTGTGTTTCATCAGTTGCTCTCCTTACCTTCCCTGTGAATGCCTTAATTATAATCTTGCTATACTTTTTTTATCAATTCTTAGGATGTTATGTGGCAAAGTATTTTGTCCTTTTTCAAGCTGATACAACCTTATTTCTTCTCTTTTTTAAAAAAGATAGTTGCAAAGGAAAGGATGATTTCAGAATGGAAAGAGAAATATGAAGAAAGTAGGAGGGAAGTTATGGAAATGAGGTTTGTGTAATTTTCTATGAATCAGTACTTTTAAAGTTTATGAAACAGTTAAAACATTTTATTTTTTATTCATACTGCTGATGACAGACTCTTCAGCTTACCAAAATTGATCTGTTGAAAGAAGTATCCCTTGTGTGTGTGTGTTGTTCATAAGACAACATAATCTTCCATAAATATGGAAATAGTTTTCCTTTACTTATGTGTATAAATTCAATATAGAAATATGCTACAGCAATAATACTACAGCAATAAACTGTAGTATTCAAGAACTACCTTGAGAGTACTTACTGAATAGAAAAACAGGTTATAAATCAAATAAATAAATGAATAAAATAGATTAAATACATATTCTACCTCTTTCTGTTTGAAAAATCCCACAAATAATGTCAAGGTATCTATCGAATATCTTATAAAATTCCGATAAAGATAAATTCAGTTGTTTAAATAAGATTTAATCAGCTAACTTTCTTGGCAGAACAAATTCAAAATAGGATATAATTTTAAAGTTTAAGGCAATTCTTTTGAATTGTTTTTATTGTCATGTTTATGGCTATTTCATAGACATTGCAATAGGGTTTTTTTCCTCCATTTCTGCAACTCAGAATGTAATTGCTAATTAAATTAACATAGGTCTGTGGAAACTATCCATCTTTCCCCTCTGCTACCACTTTCTGGCAAAATCAGTTCAAAATTTGATCAGTAAGAAGGCACAAGTTAATGCATAGAATGGCAGATCTACCTTTGTACTGAAGAAACTGAGAAAACAAGTCTGAATGTGGAGGTCACAGTCTATACATAGTAGATCACCTATTTTATAGCATAAATATGGATTTAGCAGCATCCTAGCTGTCTATGAATTAATCTTTTGATTAAAGAAATGCCACACTATAACAACTGTATTCTGTCATACATTTTGGAGCTAATTTATAAGGTTTTAATAGAAGAGATGGCATTAGCAAAATCCATTTCTGTGGATGCATGTTCACTTTCATTTCTTTCTATCTTTTAATAGGAAAATTGTTTCAGAGTATGAGAAGACAATTGCTCAAATGATAGGTAGGTATTTGCTTTCATGAAAAGAAAATATTCTTTTCTTATTCTGTTATAGGGAATACACAATAATAGAAAATTAGTCGTGCAATGATCATAGATGATTTAAGAAACAGGTTTGGGAATCACAACACATCTCGAGGTCGCTACATATGCCTGGAAGTCTTCTTGAAAATTACTGTTATTTACTTATTTACTTAAGCCTGTTTCATTGCTTACAATATTTCTTTTGGAGAAAATATGCTCTAATTCTTAGCTGTGTCTCATGTTACATGTATGCATTAATTCAATATAGAATTTCATCTCATCGTACATATTGTAACACTGTTCATAAAAAAAAAAAAGTAAAGACAAGTAGATGCCAGGAAAAACATATTTATTTGACAGCAGCCAATTATGAAACAAACCTAAATATATTATAGTCACTGCTTTGATGGCAGATATCTACCAAAACATTTAACAAATACTGATGTATAATATTTAGACCTAGGAAATGGCAGAATTCTGGATATCATTGGCCTCTCAGAACAAATCACATTATTATGCCAACCATCACTGTATTATAATTAAATTATTAATTAATTTAATTAATTACATTATTAGTACTTGTAACCAGATATCAAAATATGACTATCAATACAACCCTAATAAGTATAAAGTATTAAGCCTCGTAAAAGTTTTTCACGTCTAAGTAAAATGTAGAAATACTTTAATTACTTGGGCTGCTGCTTTTTAGTATTACTATTTTAAAGTTACTCTGTTGTATTATGTATTGTTGAGAATTTTGTTTGGTAGATTTCCCTGGAAGATGTGATTTAGAAGAGTGGCATAAATATTTTAAACTTAAATAAAATCTTTAAAGTTTGTATAATATGGTTGAGTTGAAGGTAAATCAGAATCATGCAAAGTTAGGGGCAACATAATTTTGTCCAACTATCTGGCTTTATATTTACATGACCCTTTCATTTAAAATTAGTATTTATTTTTATTCTGTAATTCCATATCTCTAGAATATATTCTGGTGAACAGTTTCCAGTGTATAATGTAGATAATTTTTGTGAAAGAAATGCTGAATATGAGATACAAGTGCATAAATTTTGCTTATCTTTTGCATTTCAATTCTGTGTATTCCCCCAGGTTAAGAAACTTTGATTTTTTTTTTTAATTTTAACATTTGAGATAATTTTATTCTTGCAGATGGTAAATATTTCTTTTACAATTAATATTTGGAGAAACTACACAAATTCTCCACCAGAGCAGTTATGTTAAATTGAGCCATCTCTACTGAACTGCAGCTTTGTGTGTTACCTAGACATAGTATCTCTTATGCAGATTATGATATATTTGTAGTACAAGTATTCCAGTGCACTAATAGATTTATATGGTTTGGAAAAGATGCAAACCAAGATTAAATCTTTATAAAGTTCACCTAGAGAAGATTGAACTGTCCTTTCAAACAGCATTTTTAGATGGTGATAAAAGTTCAGAAGCTTAAATGGCTGGCTGATCTGTTACATAATCAACCCCCTCATGAAGGGTTACATCTTTAGATGTAACATGAACGAATAAAGCATGTGCAGACATTAAACTAATGGCTGATTGTTCTGTGATTTAATTTACTGGGGAATTGTGAAGGGTCTGTAGATTTGTGTACTTGTCCCAATAGATAAAAAGGAAAAAAGATGATTATCAATTGCTAATTGTATTTCAGTGAGTGATTATTTGAGTCAGATCCTGGAGTCTGAGAATAGAAAAGGATAGCTCATGGAGATGCCCCTAGATGAGTGCGCTCTTAGCAACATTGGCTGAAGTTGCCATCTCCCATTGATGTGAAGATTTGCCTTTTAGAAAGAATCAGAAAGCCCCCCAAGTTTGGGTATCATTGGCCAGTGCCTATTCAGCATCAGCTTAAAGCTAGCTGTGACCTAGATATAGGAAATGTGTATTTGATTTTCCAGACAAGGTTTGTACAGCTTGAGTGCTAATTCTATTGTGGCTTTAAGATCTAGCGAAAAATTCAGAGGATGGAGGCTAATCCCATCCTGTTCTAGAAGTTCAGTTTAAAAGCTTTAGATATTCTTGTGCGCAAGAGTATTTTTATAAGCTAACAGAAAAGGAATGAAAATGTTACTTACGTGGTTATTTCTGACTAATCTTTATGCGTGTGACTTTTTCCTAGTTAGAAACATAGCAGGAGCTTCTGATATATGCAGAGAAAATATACTGAAGTGTGCTCTGTGTATTGGTATCCTGCAAGGGAAATTTTTATATCTGGAGAGATCCTTTGAGCACTTTATAAATCTGAACTAAACTACTGCCTTTTTAGAAAAACCTGATTTGGGCCAGAGCATTAAGAAAAAAGGGGTTAAAGAAGTATCCTAACGTTTTGCAAAAACCAATGGCTCCAATGTAAATGTAAAAAGGATTAGCTCCTAAAGATATAATTGGGAGGCAGAAACTTGAGCAGACTGAGTTTGTAGAGCTCCTGGTAATTCCTTGGCATGTACTTTTCAGATAGCATCTGCATTCATATACTTTCCTTTAATATCTTCAGTCTTCATTTAGCTTATGCTTCTACTGCATGTTTGTCTCCATAAGAAAAAAAAAATATCAGATAAAGTCTTCCCTATTGCATTCAGTCTACAGATCATGTGAGTGCTTTTTGAACCATTTTTGTTCCACATGGCATTTTGTCAAGGTGAATTGAATATACAGTATTTCGGTTTTTAGGGAATTCCATTATCTACAGCTGCTGCCACCCTTTTGAGCCATTCATTCATTCATTCATTCATTCATTCATTCATTCATTCATTCATGTATATGCTTGTGTGAAAGCTGAAAGCAAACTCATCCACTTAAAACTATTATGCTGCTTCCTTTTTCATAACTGAACTAAAAGGAATATTGTGCTTTGTGCATTACAGATTGTTGCCTCCCGGTTTTTTCTGCTTTCTTAATAAATCCCTTGACTTTTTTTCTGTTTTGCTTCCATTTTTGTTGCTTCTTGTTCTTTGCTTGCAAATCCAAAACAAAGGCAAGCCTGGTAAGTATTGCTTTTGCCAAATTTGGCACCTGCATATTGCATTTTTCAAAATTTTATTTTATTTTATTTTGGCATTTACTTTTATGTATTTGATCTGTCTTCTGATGAATGAGCTCTACAGAAGCTCATTCTACATATCTACAGAGAATGTAGATATAAATCTTGTTATTTCTAACAGTAATAGTGGTTAATGACCAATAGATACTGCAAGCATTAATGGCTTTTTTTTAGGGTGATATACATTGTTCCATTTCACTTCAGGAATAGGATGCAGAAACAAATATTGTTATTAACTGGCTATATTACAATGGTTTCCACAATACTTACAGTGGCAGTAGGGCATCATAAAAAATGTAATAAGAAACTGTTTTTTCACTCAGACAATTTCACATATTATTTTGGCCATCTAAATACACAATTTAAAAAGAGTCAAGGCAATCCGCTTTAGATCCTATCTACTGAATTTCTTACCTTAGCATCCCCCAATCTTTCCAGCTCAGTGGACTGGTGGAGGTCATGGCGGAGGGGAGGAGGGGAAGGGGATGGTTTCATGTGCGCTGCTTTCACTAATAGCAATAGCGCTTAGACTTATATACTACTTCCCAGTGCTTTACAGCCCTCTCTAAGCGGTTTACAGAGTCTGCATATTGCCCCAAACAATCTGGGTCCTCATTTTATCAACCTCGGAAGGATGGAAGGGTGAGTCAACCTTGAGCCGATGGCAGCAGTGGTGGATTTCAAAAATTTTTACTACCGGTTCTCTGGGCGTGGCTTGGTGGGCGTGGCAGGGGAAGGATACTGTAAAATCTCCATTCCCTCACCACTCCAGGGGAAGTTACTTGCAAAATTCCCATTTCCTACCAATCAGCTGGGACTTGGGAGGCAGAGGATAGATGGGGGCAGGGCCAGTCAGAATTTTTACTACCGGTTCTCCAAACTACTCAAAATTTCCGCTACCAGTTCTCCAGAACTGGTCAGAACCTGCTGAAACCCACCTCTGGTTGACAGTCATCAGATGCAGCTTCACATGCACGAATGCGGTCGCCCAACAGTTCCGCACCCCAGTTCCAAATGAGTTGTGGCCCAGCACCGGGCTGAAGACTGGGAGTTAGGGACTCCTGCCCTCCCTGCAATAAGATGTGCAAGTTTCAGTAGTAGGGACAACTCTATTTCATTAGAGGAGAAATAAATAGATTCCCGTATTGGATGCTGATTATTTTTTTTAACTAGATGTACTTGATCTCTTCTAAATCCCATATTAGAAGTGATGTCTTTGAAAATTTATCATAAGAAAGGCTGGACTACATCATCCTAGATCAGGGATGTGAAACTCATGTCACCACGGTGGAGTCACATGATGTGTCAGGACTTTTTTCCCTTCGCTAAACCGGGCAGGGCGGCATGCCCAACGCATGATGCATCCAGCCCATGGGCCAGGAGTTTGACAGCCCTGTCCTAGATGGTGCTGTGTCATTAAGCAAAAGCCTCTCTTCATTGTTTTAGGAGCAAGGAACACAATGTTCAGTTAAATTGAAATTGTGAATATGTAATCTATGCTTTATACTGATTTTAGTAATTATATGGCAATTAATTGCCCATAGGCTTTTTAAAAACTATTTGATAATAAGACAAATTAAAAATTAGTAATTTTTGGGAGTCATCTATCTGCCCAGTAAGATCTAATAGAACAGGATATTTACATATTTCTTCAGTCAGAGACTATTACCTACAGAGGGTACAGAAACCTGTCTTTTCAATTGCTACACCTCTCATCAGATATAGTATGGCCTGGACAGCAGAATGTCCTTGTCTCTTCAGAAGCTCAATGCAGATTTGGCTTCTTTTATCAATCTTGGCAGGGCTAATAGGACTATCTCTGTGGATGAACATCTATTTTATTGGTTTTATTTGGAATGTTTGCTTCTTGGTGCACATAACTGCTTATGTTGTATGTTTGGGTTTTAATTTTTGATTTATCATGAATTTGTTTTAACCCAAGATGCAGTTTTAGTGAGTTGTATGTTGCTCAATGTTCATTGATTGGAGCAGTCAATAAACAATTTAAATAATTAATATCTTAGTATGAATGATGATACTCTTTGCAATGAAATGATGCTGATTGTCAAGTTTGCAGTGAGGGATGATGGATGGATTTGATGTTTTTCCCATAAATCAGTTCGTAACCACAACTTGGTCAGGATAAAAGGCTAAACAACCATCAAAATGTCAGACTCACTTGATGGAGAAAATAATAACATTAAGAATTTATTTTCCTGCCCATGATCTGAATACTCCAAAATAGGTTTGATTCTGCAAGCTTTGATGTGTCACTTAGACCTACATTCTCTTTCTTCATATTCCATGGCTTTTTATTAGAGCTCTGGATAAACAGATCACTTCTGTGAAGAGCCATAATCAGCAGAAAAAATCCAAAGACTGCCTGTTATATCCTGACAAAATGAAAACCTGCTCCAAATTGCCTTTTCCATTTAGGATTAGGAAACATATCTGCTAAATGGTGTAGAGGAAAATTCATCTTTGAAAAGTGATCAGCAAGGTGCATATTAAATGTGAAAATTAAGTTTAATTTTTCAGTATTAGCTAGGAATTTTCTGCGACCCATTATTAGGCAGGGCTGGGTTAAAAGAAGCTGCTTGAAAAATATTTTTCTTCTGTGATTAAATTATACAATAGCAATGAAACTCGTAATCTATGCTAAGGATTTCATTCAAAGAATCCTGATCAGAATATCAGAATAACATTTGAAAGAGAGCTTGGAAGTCTTCTACTGCCAATAATGTAAATGTTTTATTATATGTAAAAAAAAATGGGAGGGAATTTAGCTTTAAAAACATACTTCTATGGAAATGTGACTCCAATTCCATTTCTATTTTCATTTGAAAGTAATTTCTATGGAACTCAGTAGGATTTTCATTCAGATAAACACTTTGGATGGACCTATAAAGAATTCCATATTTTGTTTAGTTTTAGGAGTGTCTGCATTAGGCTTAGTTTCACTAATGTACTAAAGCAACGTACGTAGTTCTTTTAATTTGCAAAAAAATCAAAACCCTTCTGCAGTTATCAGAGTCGACTAAACTTCCACAAAAGAATGGAAAAAGAAACAAGACCCAAAAAAATAACCCTCTGAACTATGTCCCCAGCAACCATTGGCATGAGGTTTACAACATGTTACTCTTGTCTAGATGTTGCCCTATTCTGTTTAGCATGTTGTGTTCAAATCAATACAGTACTTAGAATACTGTAATACATTAGAGGAATGACACATTCTGTTGATGCTATAGCTGAAAGAACAAATATTTCATGTGCAAGTTCTCAATATATTCATACTACATTATAAACAAGTGGTAGTGACAAATTGTTTGTTGCGTTACTTGTATAACTGCTTCTAGCCAAGTTTTCTTCTTTCCCACTTTTCCTGATTCATTGAATTTTATAGCAATATAACAGACAACTTAGCTATTCAAAGATAATCTGGTTTTTTATTCCTTCTTTCATCTTTTTCTTTCCATAATTTCTGTACTATTGTGGGGCAAAAGATGTGCAAAATGACATGCTACAGGCATCTTTAGATTTAAGAATAAATGAGAATAACTCACTGCCATTTTGAAAATATACTCAATTTATTAAAAGAGTAACTAGTTTTTTTATTATTAGTTTATAATATAAAATACAAAAGAAAATAGTGGGAAAATAGCGGAGGGAGAAGGGAAGGGAAAAGTGTAAGAAAAGGGGGGGGAAGAAAAGGTGTTGACTTCGGACTCTCTTTGACGAAGAAAAATCAGATAACATCAAACCTGAACTTTTTTCTTTTATCTAATAGTATAAACGAGCCATTTCTATAACAACAAATCTATCTAATCGAAGAATAACAGTTCTTAATTGAGATTGCCACTATAGGTAGCCCTCATTTAATGATCAGAATTGGGACTGGCAACTCGAACATTTAACAAAGTGGTCACTAAGAAATTTTTAATTTATTTTTCCCTTGCTATACAGACTGGTGAAGGTTGTAAATGCAAGAAATGGTCATAAAGTTACTTTCATCACTGCGAACAGTCACTAAATGACTATCTGAACCTTTATTGTTTTTATTGATAGAATTGTTCTCAGAGAAGCAAGAACAAAAATAACTGGTTCATCATAAAATTAAGACTGCTTTATAGTACACTGCAATTATGCATGCATGAGTATTATACACATGTATCTAAAAATAATATATAATCAAAGCTGTTCAGTGTTCACATGCTGTGTAAGCTCTGATTTGCTACAGCTCTGAGAAAAATAGACACTTAATAATAACTGTAATGTTGTAAAAAGTAGTGACCTTTTAAAGTGGAATGTTTGAAAAATCTGGCACACCTTCAGGTTTGGGGGAACTGCAATCCCAAACACAGCAGGTGGATAAAACTGGATTACAATTCTAGAAAACAGGGAGGAGAAAAGTGACAGAATTGTAGAAATACATAAATATGTGCATGCTGGAGAGAAAATTGAGAACGGGAACTTCTCAGATAGCATTCAGTGAAATTGAGTAGTGGGAAATTCAGGAAAAGCAGAGGGGAAATTTGCAGGACTCATAGCTAAATTATAGAATCACTTTTACAAGATTGCTAAGGGCTATAGACACATATGTGCTTAAAGGTAAGGATCAAATAAATTAATGCAGAATCAATCTTATAATAATTTCCAGATACAGATATGTCTAATATGAAGGGTTTCATCTGGCAGGATTCTTTTGAAGTTATTATAAATACTTGTATAGGTTTGTCTTCTCTTTTATTTAAGGAATGGTTTGACTTTAGGGTTGAGGTGCCATTTCATAAAGTGAAATATATGGTTTCATATATTAAAAGTTTTCAGTTGAAATGATTCTAGTTTTTTCCCAGACTAGTAGGAAGTTTTGAGTCAGCAGAAAGAAATTATTTTTCATCGATTCACACTTTTTATTCTTGCTGAATCTATGCTGTATATTTATAGCAATGTGATTCCCATAAAGGAGCTTTTCCTTGTTAAATATTTGCTTCTGATTACTTACTTGTAAAGAACAAGATGTCAGTTCCATTGCCCTACTTAAATGTTTTAGGTGATGTGATAAAATATTTATTCCCATAATAAAAAAAGGTTTTAAATGCTTAACAGATTTACCAAGCAAACATGCCCCTCGTTCTACTTTGCATGATCTCATTTTCATGCTTTAATTTAATTTTAAGTTTTTAAAACTATTTGTTGTTTTTGAGCCTTTTAATCGTTGTTTCCTATAGAAGATGAGCAGAGAGAAAAATCCATGTCCCATCACACTGTCCAGCAACTTATTATGGAAAAAGAGCAAGCGTTGGCTGACCTGAACTCTGTGGAAAAATCTCTAGCAGATCTTTTCAGAAGATATGAAAAAATGAAAGAAGTTCTTGAAGGATTTAGGAAGGTAGGGCACAGTGAATAATGCTTCTATCAAAACACCCACATTCACTAAGGTGCATGTATAGGTCTGGAATTGTGTGTGGATACATTTTTGTATTCATTGGGGGTGGGGGCTGTTCCTGATTTCCACATTCACCAGCAGGCTTTTGGCTGAAGATCAGGTCCTTGCAGTCAGGGATTTGGGGATAAAAATTATTCTTGCATGTGACAGTTCACAAACTTCCTTTCCATCCTCAGTACTTCTTCTGACAGAACATTCATAACCCATTTGTTCGGTCTTTATATAGCAACCATCCTTAATCTAATAACTGAGATGCATCAGCCTGAAAGTGCTGCCACCTAGCTCTAGTAAAAGGAGAAAACAGCCAAAGAAACCTTTTACACCTGTTTATACATATTGCAAGAATATGTATAAACAGTTTATGGTAGGCCTTTGGATTCAGTGAAGTCACACTGTTGTTCAGTATATCTGTGAACACAGAGATGGCTCTGCAGTTCTAATCTGGAGATGCAGAGCCTAGCACAATGGGGACACCGAAGGTACATTGTTATCATAACTGTGATGAGGTCAAGATTATTCATTATTCTCTGGTTCATACAAAAAATATAACTTGAACTAATTTTCTCTTAATTGATTTTCAGTTTATTCACTGTGTTTTAAAAGCAACTGTGTACTTTGCCAAAAATCCAAGGCAACCATTTTCTGTAGACACTGGGCATTGCAGAAAATGGATTCTGAGACGGCTTGAGCTTCAAATGCCATGCATATGCCACTCTAGAATTCATAGAGAGATGGCTGCTTAGCATTTATATCCTGTATTTCTCTCTCCCTTGTTTTAAGCAAATCTACTACTTTTATGTTTGCTTTCAAGAAAATGATCTGCTACCTACAACTGTAGAGCACGGTCGAAAGCCTACAACTTACTGTGAATCCCTTATAGTCTGCTGCTAAGCTATTTTTATGTTTCCCATTAAAGAATGAAGAAGTGTTAAAGAAATGCGCACAAGAATATTTATCACGAGTTAAAAAAGAAGAGCAGAGATATCAAGCCCTCAAGGTTCATGCAGAGGAAAAACTGGACAGGTATTTTATTAGGGCTTGTGGGGGGAGTCCTGAATTTCAACTTCTGTTCTGAAGTCTGTTGTAAACTAATTCTGAAGTTTTCTTTTTCCATCTGATTCTTGTCAGTACTTATATATAATTTTGTTCTGACTTTTATAAAATGTATTCTGTCACTCTTTAAGGTTCCTCTTCATTTTTATAGCCAACCCCCCCCAACTTTTTAAAACATTCAGGAAAGGTTCAATTAAGCCCCAAGTATCAAACCTTACATAATATAGTATAATGTAAATGTGGAAAGCTGGTATACCAGTATGGTACTGGATTTCGTAAAGAATTGTGCCTGTGTTTCACAAGTTACAATAATATATGCTTTTTATAAATGTATATACAATCTTGCCAAGAAAACTTCAGGAATATGTCTGGCCAGTTGCCAGGAATCAACCCTTGACATGAATGCATAAGAGAGAGAGGGGGAGAGAGATTCCTTGGCACTCAATATACCTGTGTTTCTGCAGAGCCAATGCTGAAATTGCACAAGTTCGGGGAAAGGCTCAGCAAGAACAAGCAGCTTACCAAGCCAGCCTTCGTAAAGAGCAATTAAAAGTGGATGCATTGGAAAGAACACTGGAACAAAAGGTGACTAGCTCTGAACTGTACAAAGCTGCTTGTAGAAGTTCTGTGTTTGGCAGCTGCTTCCTAAGCAGATACAGCAATTTACTTGAAAAATGTAAAACCGTCTATCTTTTTCCTGTCAAATGTTATCCTTGTTAGCATTTGGTGGGGGCTCTGCCTCAACAGTTCCGTATTATCTATTTATTTATTAAATTTGTTGGGCACCCAGAGTAACCCTGGGCCAAGTTGTCTATGGGTGGTGGCAATTTGTCTATGGAGGTGATATAGTAATATCAGAGAGAGGAGGTTAGATTTCACTGTGTGTTTAGGCAGTTCAAGGATCGGGTAAACTTAGTATCTTATTTTACTGTTCATTAGGGCTGTACAGCATTTCATGCTTGAAATCCAAAAACATTGGAATGGGAGGAAGTGCTAATGGAACATCTCTGTGCAGTGCTTTAAAGCAGCTGGATCTTTTCCCATAATTAGCGCAGAGGTTTCAAAGCACTGTAGACAGGCAGCATGTTTGCCTTCCATCCCAGTGCAAAGGCCTGTTGGAGATCAAAACTAAAGCACTGCACCATCATACCATTTATCTGCTTTTTATGAAACAAGTTAAAGTACTCACTCCAGCCTTAATTCATGAATGGGTGACTGTGGCTTATTGCAACGTTTCTCAGCCTCAACAACTTTAAGATGTCGCTAGACAACCCATGACCCATTGGGTTATCTTTTGAAAGATAATTTCCTGATCTAAACAGAATGACCAAAAGAGCAGTGGAAACAGGAACAATGTCCCCACTGACTTTCCTTGTAGAAAATTGACAGGGAGTGTTGGAAATGACAATCATAGCTCTCCATTACAGTGCAACAGTGCGAGAGCACTGAAGCAGCCACAGTTTTGCCAAATTTCAACCCTATATGAGTCATGGGTCCCAAATTTTGGATGCATTAAAAAGTTATCCCATTGGAGGTATGTTGATTCAAAAATGGTTGCTCTATGATCCACCACTGTGCCCAATTGAAGATTACGAACAGTGAAACAGAAAAGAGTGCTTCAGTAGTATATAGATTCTGGGAGAATTCTGGGAGTTGAAGTCCCTTAAAGTTGCTGAGGTTAAAAAACACTGCCTTAGCCTATTGATAGCAGAAATCTGACTCCTGGGAGGCAATGGTTTATCCTTTTAGAATGATTTGAATCTAAGAAATGAATCTAAGAGAATATAAAATGAAAGCTTTCCTGAAAGGTCCCACAGTGATGTGCTTAAGCAAAGATGATTGGTATAAGCAGAACTGAATTGCTCTTTCTCCAGCATGTACAACAAATGTTATTTTCATAATTGAAACCGAGTGCAGTACAGCTTTTAACCGAAATATATTTATTCTTTCTTCCTGTGTATGTGTGTTTCTTTTAGAATAAAGAAATAGAAGAGTTGACGAAGATTTGTGATGAACTGATTGCCAAAATGGGGAAAAGCTAACTTTTAACCAAAACCCTAAATTACAATCTTGAGTGCAATATGACCATTGGCACAGTGATATCCAGGCAGAGATGTGAACGGATTCTATTTTCACTTTTTGTATGCACTACTGTATTTTTTCTTAATAATGTTGATTTGATTGTATGCAGTACAAAGACTATCAGAAATCCTTGCTATTGTCTGCAATTCTTTCCTTTGTATAATTCATAGCAAGTTGATCTCAAAAGTTCCTGTATCAGGGAGATTTGTCGAGTTCTTTAATAAATTACAGTTGCTCATCCTAGCCTTCCCTTTGTACATGAGTTCCCATGTTGGATGTCTTTTTTGGATTTAATATAAATGTGTATTACATGCATGGGGACTCTTGCCTTAAGGAGTGTAAATTTGATCTGCATTTTCTGATTTGTAAAATAAAATGGAAACTTGAAAAATTAAGGTACATGCCTCTGTGATACTTACCACAAATAATTTTTCCCTTCCAGTTTGAAAATGGGTTTCATTTTATTAAATGGGATGTTGAAAATCAATCTGATATTCAGTAGCATTAGTTTTTTATACATTATTCTGTTATTTCATTGGTTTGAAAAACATTATTTCTCAGAATACCAATACAGCCAGGGTGCTATAGAGATCACCCAGTTATACTGTATACAAAATTCCCAAGAGAAGATGATAAGTTATATATTTAAAAAATCTACTAGTATAAAATATGTGACTTTTCTTCTGAATGCTTGTATAAATGATGCTAGGGCAGATACAAGTTATTAGAAATATTTGACTGTAAAAGATCCTGTGCTTTTTAAAAGTTATTATTTTTTTCATATTGTGTTTTTGTTGTTTACTATATTTTGAATTGCCCACAGTTGTTTTGGAACTAAATCCTGGTAAATTGAAATACATTAATGCTTTTTAAAAATCCACCCAGCAACAAGGTTACTCAGTGTAATGATAAATTCAATCCTACACTAGAATCTATCATTTGTAATGATAAACTTCAGACCTACCATATTTTGATGCTAAAATTCTAGAAAACAACAGAATTGAAATTTACAGAAACAGTGTCAGAAACACCTAAAAACGTGCTCTTTTTTAGTAGCACTTTTTAAAATATAAAATGTAAAATCCAAGTAAATGAATAAAAGCAGTATTGGATGAAAGCACCTTTACTGGTATTTATTCATCACATTCATAATTGTAAAATAATAGGCCAGTTTTTAATATAGTAGAGAACTGGAGGTTCAACCTATTCGTACTACTTTGATTATTTGGGATGTGTTAGCTTGTCCCAGAAATTCTGTGTAGAAATTTATATAAATGGTGCTTTTTCCAAGTATTGTGTCACTAAAAAAAGATTTGCATCATTAGTTTTAAAAATTAGTCATAGAAGTACATTGCTTTCAGTATCACAAAGCTTTTGCTACAAAAACAATCAGCAATAGGGTGAAAATGATCCTGGAGTAAGTCACAAAAATGGGAAACTATATTAAAAGTAATTCTCATGTATCTTTATCATATAATTTAAAGTGACCACACGGATGTAGAAAGCTTCAGTTTTTGCCACTTCTTTATACAGCTTATACTAACCATCATAAATTGTGCCTTTCAGGGAATGTTTGATATCAAAATTCCTAATTCCTTACTTGCCAACTTTGTACTGTGACAAATGAATGTTCAAGGAGCACTTTTCCTCATTAAATGCTTAATTTTCATGTGTTTCAATTTCAGTTTAATTTACTACTATTATAGACCAGTTCAGATAACAAAAAAATAAATAAATAAAAATAAAATAAAAAATAGAACAAAAAGCTTAAGACAGAATTAAAATACATTTGTAAAACAATCTAACTAATATCTATATGAAGTCCAGGATACAGCCTATATTAAATTATACTGTAAACACTAACATTATATTAAACATAATAGCTTCTAAAATTATAGCAAGACAATAGTGTATAAAACTATTAGTACCAACAAAGTAATATCTAAAATTTGAATGAATTATAGTTACAAAGAATGCACTGCAGGAGATTGGCCCATCAAGATTCAACTCCTCTTCCATATTCCTGCACAAAACCTAGTTATAGGCATTAAAGCAAGGGATACTTCAGCTATGAGCAGCATCTGGGCATAAACTGAATCTGAGCAACCAGGACCTCTAATCAGAGGTAAGATGAATCTGATTCACGTGTCCCCATAAAAGGAGCAGTGAAATAGAACATGTTCTGTAATTTCCACCTCTCTGGAATCACAGAGGCAGAGTTTTTCACCCAAAGGCACTTTTTAATCTATACTGCAGAGAGGAGAACAGGGCATTGGGCAAGATAGAAAGCTTTCCGACAGCTGGGTGCTTCTAGGTGTGTGAGGTAGCTGGCAGCAGTGACAATGTACCTGGTTACATGAAAGCTGAGGTCTCTCCTAGATCCACTTGTCTCTCTTTATCCTTTATCCTTTGCTTCAGGATTTGTTTCACTTGATCATATCCCATTATATTCCACCTAATCTTTTAAAAATGTAGGCTAGACTGCCTCCTCAGTTCTTGAGGAGGGAGAGCAGCCCAGATTTAAAAGATTAGATTCAACAGCCTTGATCCATGTGGATTGCAAATTGTCCTGAAGAATTAATGGTGTTAAGCAGTGGTGAAATCCAAATTTTTTTACTACCAGTTCTGTGGACATGGCTTGGTGGGCGTGGCAGGGGAAGGATACTGCAAGATCTCCATTCCCTCCCCAGACCTGGGGGAAGGATATTGCAAAATTTCCATTCCCACCTCACTCTGGGGCCAGCCAGAGGTGGTATTTGCCGGTTCTCCGAACTACTCAAAATTTCCGCTACCAATTCTCCAGAACCTGTCAGAACCTGCTGGATTTCACCCCTGGTGCTAAGCCTTGAAGACAGAAGTTGAGTTTTACCAAAGGTTTATAGAAGCTAGGCATAGTCTTGACTCAACTTTGTTCAGACTTGTTTCCAATCGTAGATGTGCATTTGAGATACAGCGTGGGATCTGGAGAGCTTCTCTGAAGAATTTGGATCATACCATCTCCAGAGAGGTGAAACACGAGGCTGGTGGGGGGTGGGGTGGGGACCAGAATCCATAAAGGACCTGGACTGGAAGCTTAGCTGAAAGAACTTAAATACCGCTAGAACATAATGTTCTCTCTTGGATTGGAAAAAAAATTAAGAACGGCATTGGTGGATCTTTGACCAATAGCAGGGGCATATTCATAGTAAGTTTCCCTCAAGCCAGAGGCATGCATGACTACTCTTAAATACTTAAAGCTAGTCACTCATTCTATTTTGTGGCCATTTATGCCCCATAACCAGAGCTTCAACCTTTTGGCAAAAGTCATAATCTTGGCTTTATGATAGCTTATTGCCAGATTATTATTGTTGCAATATTGGACCAAAGTTCTCAGATCTCATTTAAAGCCAATTAATGTCCTGAAAAGAACTACAGTTTTGTCTGTGTGAAGCAATAGGACTATGATGTGATCTCCTAGTTTAGGGGAATGGAAATTTGGGTTGTTTAGACATCTCACCACATCATTGATACAAACATTGAAAAGTGGGCGGGGGGGGGCCAAAAATCCTTGTTTCATCTCCTTCTGAGCTTTAACTGGCTTCAAGAGCAACTTTTGCACAATGCAACTGACCTTGAAAGTTGTATTAACGTTTGGCTTGAATTAACTGAAGAAGCCTATGATTGATTGATGCATCTTACAACTTCTCCCATAATTTGATTTTGGATACATGATTTACAAATGGAGTGTTCATTCTTACTAGAGGGGAGTATATGTGAGCTTAATGCTCAGTCTACAATAAGGCAGTAAAATGGATGATGAATTCGATAGCTGATTTTGTCACAATAGCTTTACATTTAGTAGAAAATGAACAGGAATGTTTCTGACTTCTCATATATTGGCTGATCTATTAGAATCCAGTTACGTACTGAATAGCTCAACAAACTAAGAATTGTTATCTGAAAACATTTATGGATATAGTCCCATAAAATGCCAATTAGTACTCCATTGTTTTTAGGAAATGGTGAGTGGAACATGGGTGTTTGGACAGATGAGATGTTCCCTTTTAGATAGTTGATAAAAAGTATTTCCTGAGAATGCTAGAGATATGAAGGAATACAGTACATCTGACTTGAAGAATAGCCAGAAAAAAACAGATTACAGTATACCCTGCACCATTTAGCCCCTACATGATCCTCTAGAGAGGATTAACTATGCTGAATAAGCATTAGGACGTAAATGACAATCAGTTGTTTTGTCTAACAATACTTTTGTTGGCTCTCCATGATGAAGCCATTCAATAGCTTCGTCCTTCTCATCTTTCTTTTCACCATAGAAAGTAAGTAATTTTGCTCCATGTTTCTTCTCTCACTTAGCATAATTCAGGATCTAAACATTCCAGATTTACAAATAATAATAATGCTTTTGTAAGGTAGCTTAAAATAGTTAATGACCAATTACTTTCTCCTGGTGTTTTCTTTTCCGTCTTTGAGATTCAAGAGGAGTCTAGCTGGATTGCTTCAATTATTTTAAACATAAATTAACATTTCTTTTTGGAGCAAACTCCTATTTCTTAATTACAGTTTTACACCTGTGTGCACACACAAACTTGTAAATGAAATATGGAACCAAGACTTTGTTACTTAAGGTCTGTAGTGGCTGAGTGTCTAAATTCCTTCCTCAGAATTCATAACTATAGACATAAAAGAGAAAAGAAGTTCAGTTATCCTGTTGAAATCTTGATATTTACATGATTAGGGTTTAGTGTTTTGTGCTTTTTTTTCTAGATTGAACTTTACAAAGAATTGCATGATGCCATTTTGAATTTTCAAGAACATGGAAGTTTTTATTTATTTATTGAGAGTTAATGTTGGAAATATATCCAGTTTTAAAATATTTATAGCGAGGCTGTTCTTCCATCAAGTGGAAACCATAACCGCCTTCTGTAAAATAATTGAAACCACTTACATTATTTGTTATCGGATGTTTTTATTGTAGTTAAAACTGCCTCCTGGTAGATAGAATCAAAGCTGATTTGTTTTCACTGCAAATAAAGCAATTCTTTTTTATGTATATAATAATAATATCAGGTGAAGGGCTGCAGTGCTATACGTGTGCAGGTGCAAGTAATGAGGAGTGTAACCAACAAGGCTCTGAGCAATGCCCAGGACATGCTGATGCTTGTGCAATCATCAGAGGGCAATCAAGTAAGTATTCTATAATGACAACCATCTGAAGATTAACCTTGGCTAAATTCAAAGCGTGTCAAACGGCAGAAAAATTTGTCAGTATGGCTGTTGTTGGCTCAAGAGCAAGAAAGCAAATCAAATTTTGAACGTAATATAAAAACTGGACAGCATTCATATTTTATCATTAGCATTGTTGACAAATTCCAGATATACCTTTTGAACAGTCATT